AAGCGTGGGGGTGTGGGGGGGGGGGGGGGGGGTGGGGGGGGGGGGGGGGGGGGTACGGGTGTGCGTGCCAGTGGGTGGGTGTTGATGAGTAGAATAATCATACCCACACCCACACCGTAGTTTCCAAGGCCCGATATTTTTTCTGCAACTATTACTAGTTGCAACTCTGAACAGAAGGCCAGCCTTATCCAAAGTTCCTCTCACTTAGTTGATTAAGCTTTCCATGCATGCTGACTAACCACATACTAGCCACAAGGGCGTTTTTGTGTGTCAACAACGTAGCCAGTGTGCTATCTGATGGATGGTTGGAAACAAACAGCCGTTCGTGACTTGTTCAAGGTCATTCTATGTTTGATGACATCGAGGTTCGAACACACTATATTGGGATATATGTCGAACGTCTTAACCATTCAGCCATAGGAGCCGAATGGAGAGCACACCTATATACCCACGCGCACACACCCACACGCACACGCACACCCACCCACACCCACACCGATGACTTGACTCGACTCGAAATTTTTTTTATATGACTCGGACTCTATTCAACTCGAGAAAAGGCTTGACTCGCCCAGCCCTGCTCCTATCTGGATCGGATTAAGTCTCACATGCAGGCTATGTGCACATCTGGTCAAGTTTCTTGTGTGCTGATCGATTTTGATTAGAGATGATATTATAGTTTCAAAATACTTTAATAATTTTGTTGAACTTAAAATTTTAATTTAAACTTTTATGATCAGAGATAAAATGAAATGCTTTTAACTCGGAGGTGATCACTTATCACATGTCCCGGTTTCTATCATTTAGTGTCAGTCTTGTTGTCGTACATGAAATTGTAAATGTATCATTTTACTCTATACTGTGATGAATGACAATAGTATATATCAATCACATCAACTTATCTTATCTATTCTAGTATAACTTTAACTGTTGAAAGTCAAAGTCGCACTTAGCTCTGAAAGTGTACGTTCACTCGAAATGCCATACATATTCATGATAGTAGATGTTCCTTGTTGACTAATGTAATTTTGTTTTTTTAACATTGCATGGGGTTATGATTGAGCTAAAGCATGCTACAATCAGGATTGTCACATCTTCCGCAATGATAGAAAAAAATTCCGACTTTTGACTTTTTTTCGACTGCTTTCTGGTTTGTGAACTTTTTGCCAAATTGTGATATTTCTTTCTAGATTTGAGTTTTCATAAATTTTGTTCAGACTTCTAATTTAATTTCTACTGAAAATTAATGTACCAGACTTGGTTTTCTACAATCATTAGATAATAGTGTTTTGAGATTACTATCTGTATATTCTTGCTTCAATCTAAGGTTTTTCCAAACTAAATTGAACATCATATACTGTTAAAAAGAAGCCATTTGAATAAACAATTTTCTCGAAATGAATTGAGCTTCAAGTTGAAGCAGGTGCTTTTCCTCCATGATAATTCTTACATGTTGGACGGAAGTAGATTCAGTTATGAATCATAAATTTGAGGCTTCCAATACAAATATAAGTAAAAATGAAGAAGAAAAAAGCCTATATGAGTAAGAAAAATTCATGAATGAGTTGATCACAACATATTTGCAACGACAAAGATCATTTTTTTATTTAGCTGGAACAAAATAATATATTGGACTGCAGACTAGAGTAAAGATTTCAATATCTACCAACAAATCAAGAGTAATGAAGCAAAAGAACAACATTACACTTCGTTTTCTTTGTTCATCTGTGTTGTCTTTTCGCTTTCTCTCCTGCAGTAATTTTTTTGATGAACGCTGTCACCCAGGTCCATTGTTACGGACTCCGTATACAGTTATAAACAATCGTATACGGTGTCGTATACGACCGTTTACATGCCATATACGCTCCGTATACGACCGTATGTGGCCGTAATACATATGATCGTATTACAATCGTATATCTCCGTGGCCGTATACAGAGAAATACGGAGGAATACGGAGATCGTAAACGGCCGTATTATTCCCGTTTCCGATCGTCAACGATCGTATTTTGTCGTCTATATAAAATGATTTCAGTACATAACATTGATCGGTACTATATTCACTGAGACATACACCTGCCTATCTACCTACCTACCTATCTATCTAGTCTTATCACCATTGACTTAGATTAAGAACAAAGAGATCGACAAATATTCGAAAACTAGTAGTTGTTTCAAGATGAAAGACGTCTGTATAATAGAAAAAAATACTAGAGCTTACTATGAGCGCAATTAGATGGGCCTCCATTGTTGGTAATAGGTCAGTACCAAGTGTGACAAAATGTGAAAACAAAATTGTTTAAAACTTATTTCTATTCAGGTATCATCTAGAAAACGAAAGTACACATTGAAACCGAATTCGATATCCCTAAAATATTATTCGTTCATGTAACTTAAAAAATGAGATTAATGACTTCCTTGTTATACATGCATTATTATCTGTTTGGATTTTTCATCCAATAGAATTATTTCGAGAACTATAAGCATTACTATATCCACTTTCTTTTAGTACAACAAATTAGAACAATACCGCTATCGAACGAATTGATCTATTATAAATTGTGGAACTTATTTTGAAACTAATATTTAAGTTCTTTGTACACATTTTTCAAAGAATCTTTGTTCCTGGCTAGGCCTGTCTCTAGAATTATAATAGATGTATCGGCTACATGTTCGATAGGCTCCGATAAAGTTTCAAAATATCTGACAATGGACATCCCAATCATTTTAATAGTGCATATATCAGTCTAATTCATCTACAATAGGTCATGGCATATATTTTGCTTCTAAACCTGAACATCATCCTCATGGACACACAGCGCCAAATGATCAGGATCAGACACGTGTTATGTATTATAATAAAGTCTTGCTTGGTAAAATATATGACATGCGTGAACTAAATCGGGAACTCAACTCAGCTCCAGGTGACTACCATTCAGTCCATGGCATACATCCTGAAAATCCAGGGCACGACGAATATATTGTTTATCGATATGGACAAGCACTGCCATATTTGAAAATAACCTATAAAACTTAAATCTTCAAATTTAATCAAATGATTGAGTGTGACATCGAAGATTAATAAGTATTCATCGGTGTACGTTTATTCTCGAAATAGTATTTTTTAATAAAAAGATCACATTTATTATTCAATGAATAAAACTTTTCAAACCAGTTATCATATGTCTGTCAATCTTCCACTTGAGTCATTTGAGATGAAAGTTTCGATATTCGTTTGAAGGGTCGAGTGCATCATCTTCATGATGAGCTCTAACTATGTAGTTCAATAATAATTGGACGTGTACCAAAATAAAATGTGTCGTATTTATGTTGTTTGTGAAAATATCATGCTTATATGCCAGATATTTATTCATCATTTTGTTTCACGCATATAACTATGTATAATCTACACTATTGAAGATATTCAACTTACTTATTTTCCTACGGGCCTTTTTTCAAGATTATCTGTCTATTAGAAAATATTTAAGGAAACGTTGAGAGATCGATCAACGATCGGGAATTTGTCAGTCAACCAATCAGACTGCGGCAGGTGTATGCACCTTCAAACGAAATATCAATGTGTATAATAGAAAAAAGCAGTAGAAAATTATAGTATTGTAGAAATATCTAAATAATACAAAAAAAACAAGATAAAAGGGAAAACTGACGATTCTAGAAGGAACATCGTACTTCAAGTCAAAAAGTGTTTTAAAGTATTTCAGTATAGATGAAATTACTATTTCATACTTTAAACTACTGTTGTACTTGGGTGTATTTCTCGACTTGAACGTACGCTGCGTTCCTCTAGCTCATGACGTATTGAGGTTGATTAATCTAATTCAAGATTCACAAATGAATAGAAAAAAACATTATAAAAGATTTGTTTTTCAAAAGGAAATCGATTTAAATCAATTTTTTTGTGATTAAAAATTGAATTAAAATTAGTCTTTTTTTTAAATATTAGATTATCAATAAAAAATTAATTTAAAATCGTGAAGTCATGTCAAGTTCAGGATCAAAAGCTTCATTAACATTTTCATTATCATTAATAATCGATCCATTATTTGGTTTGCTATCATTTTCCATTGTTTGATTCATTGCTTCATATCGACCATATCGAGTTTCTTTTCTTGCTGGTCCCCAATCTTTGTCCGGTTGACTTGCATACGTTAATGCTCGTAAGTAATGCGGCATTTCAATTGACATCTTCGAAAAAAGAGGTCAATAATAAACAAAGCTGTTAGCACAATCCCTACGGGAGTAAAGTGTGAAACAATGAAGTATGTACTATAGCCAATCACAGAGAAATTGTTTTATTCTATCTATTTTGGGGCATATTTCATTATTATTCTTTCACTTAATCGTCTATCAATGCAATAAGAAAGTAATTCATATATTATAACAATATTCTATTGATAGAGTCTCTTTGATTGTATATTACAAATGTCTGTGGCGAGAAGCATAGTGAGTATTTTTCCTTAGGCCAGGTGGACGTGTACTTTTTTTGTTTCGGAAAAACTTTTTTTTGTATTCAATACAGCTTTATCATTTCTCAGATGTTTAATATAATCTAACATTTTTGTACAAGAAGACTATTAAATTATACATCATTCGATATAGCTTTCAATACTAATTGCAAATAGAAAGTTAGTTTTCAATGTAACTGCTTTTATCTCGAGAAAAATGAGTTTTACCTTGAAAACCGTGGGCTTTCTAGAAAACTTATAGCTTAGTTGTGGAACGCTCTCACTGATTGTGCTAACACTACATTGGTGTTATTGGTTGAGGAAAATTCTGTGCAAGTTTCGTCCAATTTGAAATTGTGGAAGATTCTGTAATCTCATTACACTGGGCACACGTTATTGTAAAAGCACTCAATATTACAGAAGAATGACTTTTCTAGAATTTGAAACAAATAAAAGTGAAAGTATTTTTTATGAATCCAGAGAATGAAAAACACCGCTTCGGATTATAAATAATTTTCTTAGGATGTTTTTCTTCTTATGTTTTTAATTGACAGTTAAACTAGGCTTCTGATTCTTATTAGCGGCGTTTTTCGACTAATGCTAACAAGAAGAATAACGAATTTTATATTATTAAATAATACATAAGTTGAAGTATATGTAAACCTATTTAAGTCATCAGAAACTATACTTTCAAGTTTTCACCTAATTTCCGTCTGAACGCCCACAGTGTCGGGAGGAATGTGTATCAAGGTGTCTGTGCCGATCTATTGTTCTCGTCTGTCATCGTTAGAGTCCATCGTGTTCGTCCTGGACACGAATCCGAAGAGCTCTAGTCGTCTTGGAAATGTGCAGAGTGCGACAGTCACTGAATACATACAGCAGGAAAAAAGTATCTCGTATCTTCTGGATAATTATCCGATCTCGATCAGAAAATTCCGTCAAGATTTTCAAAGTACAGTTCGACCATAGGTTCAGATCCAGACCTGTCTCCTAAAGGTATTCAGTGAACTGGATCCGGACCAGAAAACTTTAGAACGATCAGGTTCTAGTTATGGTTAGTACGGGAGACGCATATTTCTACTCTGTATACTTCAATACTCCTTTTAGATCGTATATCACAACATATGGTAAAACTACTCTTACTTGATTATCATAACGATGCGTTGCTTTCCATGCTTTAATAAGTTCATAGATTATACCACCTGGAATAAATATAATCGATGAACTAACCATAAGCCAACCGAGAACATTAGTATATGTTGAATATACATATTTTCCTTCGGTTGGTGCTCGAAACTGTATTATTGATGAAAAGAAAACAATCTGAAGAAGAAAAAACAGTTTCATTTCAGTATAAAAGATAAAATTTTTCGTTTTTTTTCTTACAAGAGTAATTATCGGACCTGATATACACCAAGTTAAAAACCAATAAGGTTCGAGCGGTCGTTTATCCAACATCATTCGAACATCTTCCATAAACTTATTAAAACCTGTGTGAAAAAAATGAATCTTTTTTATACAACTCATTTGATACTCAACCATAAATATAAGCAATAACAATAAATTCAAAGAATGCACAAACAATTACTGATAAATTAGCTGAATATTCATTCATTAATGTCTAAATAAGATATATATCAATACGTTATTTTAATCATAGCATAATAAGTATACATACAAATAAATAAATTCCACCCTAGAAATACGCAAAAGAAAAAACAAACATAAATGAAAATTTTTATTGTACTTTTGTGTTCTATTTACCGGTGTACACATAGGAAGTGCTAATAGAAAACAAACTACACAATATCCAAGGATAAAATATGTTTTATAACGTCGTAGACTAGTAAAAGTATCTAATAAACCGGATATTGTTACATCAGATAGTGCAAACTAAATTTTTAAAAATCAAATAAATCTTCGATTTATTTCTCAAAATTAATACTTGAGAATCGAGACCAAGAGTGAGCAACATAAAAAAGAATATTACTGCCCAAAATGGACCACCAGGCATAATTGATAATGCTTGTGGATAAGCAATAAAAGCTAAGCCTGGCCCAGCTTTAGCTACTTGATCAACAGGTAAACCCGTTTTATATGACATAAAACCAAGAATAGGAAAAACAGCAAAACCCGCAAATACCTATTATCTTTCAAATATAAAATTTTATCGTATTTTATAAATAACTTACCGAAGTAAAACAATCACAAGCAGTAACAATTATACAATCTCTGAAAAAAAAACAAAAAAAAAGAAGTTTGTACATGCAACAAAGATGAAATCTAACCTAAGATAATTTGATTTAAATTTATTAAAACTAGCATAACCAAGTATGGAACCGAATCCTACTGACAAAGAAAAAGTAACTTGAGAAGCAGCTGCAATCCAAACCTAAACAAAAAAGAATATCAATGTCAAGAGCAATTATTCTTATAGAAATTACGCACATCAAATTCTCGAACTTTATTCCAGTTTGGTTTCAAATAAAATGAAATTCCATTTGCTGCACCTATTTAATAATATATACAAACATATAAATTTCTAACAAATCCATAGAATAACCTGGTAATGTTACACCACGAATAACCAAAGCAAAAATTACAACATAAGGAAATAATGAAGTAAAATAAACTACCTGAAAAATAAACATAACCATAACATTCAAATTAGCTTAGAGTATATGAAAAGTAGTGGCGAAGATATTTAAATTTCTTATGAAAAAGCTTAAAGAGACTTTCTCTTCATATAGCATGACAGTAAAAACAATACTACATTTCTGTAATGTTTGATATAGCTCTTCAACTAATATTATAACAATAAAATTTCGATACGAGTTGTTTGTTATACAATGCCATAGTAATATTAGATCATATATTATTTTCGATGTGTATACTCTTCTTGACGTTTCTTTTGTTCTAATACCTAAGCATCGATATATTTGAGAGCATGGAAAAAAGTGATGCTGGTAGAACAAAAAAATAAAGACAAAAAATAATTTCAGTGAAATTTTTCTTCGTTATTCGACGTAATCAAACAAAATCTAAGCGATCGAAATGATTCTAAATTATTGTATCGTGCTGCTGCTACTCTTTGTATAGACGGCTAAACATTAGACGAGACGAGAAAAGAAAAACAAAAATAAAGAGAATATCAAAAAGAGGATACATCTAAGAATGAGCAGTGCTGGTATGAATACTGAAATACTGACAATAAGTCACCGATGCAGGCTCCACTTGAACACTGACTACGCTACCATTGATGCTCATTGAAGAACTGACTTTATTGAAAGCCAGAATTTGCTGCAACATAGAAATATCAACTCTATCCATAATATGTCTATTTTGTAGCGACGTGTTTCAGTACCTCGGTAAATACATAAACCGATGCATTGAGTTGAAAAACTTTAAAAATCAAATATCTATTTGTGTGTCGCAACGGCTGAAAACCTAAGCAACTGTTTTGAGCAATGGAAGCAGCTGTACCGATCAACTTACACCTCTGAATACTATCGTTGGAGTGTATCAACTAAAGTATTACCATCACAAATCTTAACAAATAGTTTCTATCGAAATTTTATTATTATGTTATAACATGTAAGGTTTTGCATAAGAAATTAAAATACCTTTACTATTACTTTGCATATGTTCTAAGTATTTTCTGATTTACTTTGCCAGATGATTTGATGCCTTGAATAATACAAGCAGCAACAAGTATCCATGCTAAGAGTAAACACAGTACAAGAGACCAATGTGGAGAACCCATTGCTTCTAATGAATTACTTCGTCGTAAAACATAATTACTATCAACATATTTTTATTTTAGATTTAAAACAAAGAAAAAAGCTAAGACTTTTAAAATCTTACTCAAAATATTCTTCCGGTGGTGATGTAGGTAATGAACAATTACTGAATTGATTAGTTGAAAGGCAAAGAAAATTTATCGTTGCATTCTTTGATGGATCTAGAACCATTAATATTATCTTATTAATTTTCTTTCAATTAAAATACAACCTGGATTTGAACAACTTTCTGTATTCCACCAATTTCCACAATCACTCCACGGAAGTTTTTTTCGAAATGAAGCAAAAAAATAAAATAAACACCAAGCAATAATTATATTGTAATAGATTGTAACAAGAAATGAATTAACTGCCATTGCCCAGCCTAGTCCTAATATTATATACATATTATTTTGCATACATATCAATATAGAATATCTTCATTACCTTTAAACATACGTGACATCTTAAAAGCAACTGTAGCACCACGACTAGTAAATTGACCAAGTGATAATTCAAGAAAATAAAGTGGTGTTCCAATAAGAAAATACACACAAAAATATGGTATAAGAAAAGCGCCTATATCAATAGAACACGTACAATAGACAAGATAATTTCCATATATTCTTACCACCACCATTTTTGAATGCTAAACAAAACACAACACAAAATGAAAATAAACACATAGAATAATTATAAGCACTACCTACCAATATAAGGATATCTCCATACATTACCCAGACCTGAAATATCAGAAAAATAAGATTAGATAAACTATTATTATTAATACATACCAACAGAACAACCAACTAATGAAAGAATAAATTCAATTGGTCGATCCCATTCTTCTCTTTGTTCTTCTTTATTACTTGATTTTACTTCCTAAAAAGTTCATTTATATATTTACATTTGAACAAAAAACAAACAAAAAAAAAATGAGATTCATATTTAACTACTTCAAATGGTTGTTGAAGAGTATTTCTTGATCGAATAAGCGCTCGTAACCGATCCAACATTGTCTAAAAACTAAACAAATGTCAATCAATTTACTTCTTTTTATATTGAATATTTGTAATCTTATCTCTTTCCTTCATTTTGTTTTTGTCATTAACAGCATAGTCAAATAACACGCATGTCTGTAAAAGACATAGTTTAATCAAAAACAACACAAAGTTTATATGAAGTTATTTTATCTTTGTATAATATTCAAATTACTTCTGTCACGGATAGTTCACTGACATTAATAGAAAATAGACTCATGTTTATTTTATAATAAAAGTTCTCACAATAAAAGTTTGTTTCATATCATATTGTTTTCTATAAAGTTTAAAGAAGATCAAATCATAATAGAACACTGTGTATGATGAGAACTATGATTCATTGAGAAGACTGAATTGTAACCTTTTACTTGAATGGAAATAGATCGAATGTTGAATTTATATAGACTTATATTGATTTTATTTTTAAATACATAGCGGTAAAATGTTTACATTATTTATATATAACAATATGTATTTATTTCAATTAGTCTAATATTATTCCTAACATGTATCTTATTGTAAAATGTTTATTTCAGTTGACATATTTTTCATTACATGAATTTAATTGCAAATCAATTATACCAAAACACGTCAAGTAATAAACTATTGTATAGAGTTTACTATTCTACGCGTTCTTTTTTTATAGTGATCTAAGCTATAATAAAGTACTATAGAATTACTTTCGAACAGTATTTTGCTAATGGCTTTATATAAATTTTTGACGCATGCATATAAATAAAATATGTTATGCATATTGTTAAGCTGCAGAATGGCATATTCTTGCGAGATTTAATTCAATTTTGAAATATTCATTTACAAAAATTCAAATCTATTTACATACATTTGTTAGACGTTTCAAGATATTAGTGAAAAAGATCCATTATTTAGTTTAATATTGACCTATCGTGAACTTATTATCGAATATATATACATGTAATTAATTAGAAAAAGAATGAAAAAGCAAAACTTCTGCAAAAATTTTCTAGAATGTAAGGATAGGATTTAAAAACGGAAATTTCCTTGTCTCTACCTATGAATGAGATGTTTGCAATTGAATATTATAAGAGTTCTGTTTCTTTTCATAACGTCTTATGCATATGCTTAAAACTTCTCAGTAATAATAAACATATCTGTTTCTAATATTGAAGACTTTAAAGTCCAGATTGATGTCTATTGTCGGGTTTTTCTCAAGATGCCAATCAACATTTTTTTAAAAATAACTTTCCGTCGCTTATAGCTATCGAAGTCGAGTTTTCGCTATTAGATAGAATATTTTTTTTTTGACATGTATTTGTGAAACATTTATTAAGTTTGAAGAAGTTTTTCAGGAATATTTTTAAGTGAATATTTCTTTTCGTTGTCCATTTCCATAACTTTTCGTAGCAATCTATGCTCAAATTAAACTAAAACGTATCGCGATGAGTGTTGTATTCTCTATATAATTGTTCGAATTTTCTATCCTCACCATGGACTCATGCTTTAAGAGAAGCGAATGTAAATGTCGGTGTTTTCTTCGTCATACTGACAACCACACCCATATTCTACGGAGTCAGATTGTAACCAGTTGATTTCTTAATAAGCTAATTAATTATAATAAAATGCTACATATATTTAACGGGTAGTATTTGATCCAGACTCATTTTTTATTATGAATTCATTCGGCGTTGTTGGGATCGGCGAAAATAGACTTTTTTTGTCTTTTTAATATTGGTTGTTGATAAAGCAATAGTCGTAACAATGGTGTCAATATGAAACATATGCAACTACAACATATATATTTTGTGTATATAAGATTCAATTTTATGCCATTTAAAATTAGTTACAAAGTATTGTCTCATAGTATCTTAATACTACGGAATGTTTTTTGTTTGCTTATCTATAATAAATTCTACAGACTGAATATAAATCAAAAATTTCATGATGCAACGAAAAGGAATACATTGCTGATTTGTTTTCTTCTAAAAAGGGGTTATATCTATAGAAACAAAATCAAGAAAAAGTAAGTTTTACGCTGACAAAAAAAAAACACTATCGTGAAAATTGTTTTATTTATTTATCAAGTCAATTCTTTAAATTATTTTTTATTGACAACTCGCTATATACGTGCTATGATACTATTTTTATTTGTGTGCTACTTTTCTCAGCACACGTTTATGTCTTAACGTAACTATATCCATAGCGCTATTCCATTACTTTAGAGTCAAGTGAATCGACGTTTGATGAACACTACTTATGCTCGTAATCGAATAACCTATACAACATATCAGGGAACCATGTGGGATGGGACTTCACACCAGTCAAATATCAAAAAAGAGATTCTGAAAACATCTATCGTTTTCATTATAATTTTATGATAACCAAGTTCACATTTCGGCGAAAAAATGACATCTATTTCGGAACGATTGTGTTGTTGTTAATAAAAAAAAAAAAAATTACTGTAAAAGATGTTTGTCCATTGGAATCACATGAGACCGATGGCATGTAATTATCCTCTCCTACGCAGACTTCTGCAATATATATGTTATAAAAAGAAAAATAACAGAAACATTCTTTTCATTCTACGATTAAAGTAGCAAGAAAGATAAGTACAGGTGATTCGTTTATCAATATAATTAATGCAACAAAGTAGTAAGATATATTACTACTTGAATAGTTTTGTATGATGCTTCCTGAAAAAATATATATGATGTATATTATCAAACATTTATAATGATTCTTAACAAACAAACAAAATATCAGATTCGAAGAACGCTTGAAACTAATATTGAAATAATAGTTAAAATTGAATTAAATCACATGGCTTGATGAATCATGGCCTTCTCAACAGATTTTTGAATATCTTAATCGTTCACTTTAGAATTGATGGATATGCTTGAAAACAATATCAATGATAATTCAGGATCTAGATATGGTCTTCAAAATATATTCAAACATGTATCACATATAGCGAATATATATATTGTTCCTTATCAACATAGTTATGGTTTAGGTGGAATACTTTTACAATAAATGATAGATTATGCTCGTTGATTCGGTGCTTCAATTATTAAACTTAAAGTAAATACATCAAATATAAATGCATATAGATTATATCATAAATATGGTTTTTGAATAATGTGATTTCTTTCTCATTACTATTCCAAATATCGAGATACTTATCAAATGGCATTTTCACCAGAAGTAATTTTAATGTATAGCGATATTTGTGTCATATTCTCCATTTATAATCATAACATTTTCAGTTTTTTTTTCGTTCTTTTTTTTATTATAAGAAAATAAAAAACAACTATTTGAAAGTTATTACTTTCGTGACAGTTGAAAGTGTGCGCAAAAAACTGTACACAGAAAAAAACGAATTAAATGATTGTTAAATATATACTTTAGATATACTCTGAATGAGTTTATATCTTGAAAAAAAATGGTCGATTTCGAATAATGCTCTTGCGAAGATTGTTATTATTGACATTGCATCACAATAAAAAAAAAGGTGAATATAAAGATAAAATATATTTGCTTAGCATTTATTGCACTGTTTTTTCTGCTGAAAATGTGATGAATGCTTGAAATTACGATTCTTTTTTTAAATATTATTTACTAATAATATTTTTTTTATTAATTAAATAATATTGTTTTAGATGAAAACATAGAGATTTTCAATGGTTACTATACCACAAATACAAAAAATTGAGCCATATCGTGTCGTTCATGAACTTATTTCAAAACCATTAGGAACATATATTATACGAGCTTCGACTAAAAATGATGATATAGTTTCACAAGTTAAAACTAAATCAGAAATAAACTCTCGTCCTTATGTTGTTTTATGTGTACGTGTTGATGAAGCTTCCTATCCATGTCCAATAATGAATTATCGTTTACCATTAATCGAACCAAATGGAGAAACAGATCCCGTAAATATTTTAGAAGAATATAAAAGAAATGAAAATAATTCTGAAATCGATGGATTACCACAATTACAACAAGAATGTATTGTTACAGAAGAAGATACAAATTGGGAAATCAAACGAACTCTTTTTGACAATAAATACATCTGTCTCTTTCCATCTAATAATAATAATGATGATATAGAAGGAAGTACAATATGTAATTTTCAAGATGGTAGAATTGAAATCAACGTATATAATAAACGAATTCGAAATGATGAACAAAGTTTTCAACAGGAATTTTCAATATTAAAAAATCTTTCTTATTTTCATATTGTTTCATTTTATGGTATCTGTTATGAATCAGATCAAACTAAATATTTAGTATTTGCAGATAATGGAAAATCATTAAAACTATCATGTCCGATTTTTGAACATACAGAAAGACTCTTAGTTAAAAGATTGTCAATGATTGGATATCAAATAGCTTGTGGAATGATTTATTTAGAATATAAACATATTATTCATCGAGATTTACATGCAGGAAATATTCTTGTTGATAAAAATGGTTTTATAAGAATTGCTGATTTTGGTCATGCTATTATAAAAGATGCCGATGATGATGACAGATTTCAGCTATCAATAAAGAATTCAAAATTGAACTTTCAAACACGTCGTTTAGCACCTGAATGTTTATCATCACCACCTAAAGAGAGACAACTCACTGATACAATAAAAATTCTATTAACTAGATTTTCCTCGAAAAGTGATGTGTGGGCATATGGACTTATATTTATAGAACTTATGATGAAGGAAAGCGAAGATGTGTATCCATATTTACCGATTAAACGTAATAATGATGACGAGGTTATTCAAATTATTCAACATGTTAAATTAGACCACAGGATACATGAAAAACCAGATTATTGTCCTAAAATTATTTATGATACATTAGAAAAATGTTGGAGTTATAATTCTGAAGATCGTATTTCATTTTGGGATGTACGAAACGAAATGGTGAGATTATTCAAATCATAAAATAATTAAAACAAGAAATTCATCTGAGAATAAAGATCAATGAAATATATGAAAATCATTCATATAAATTACTAATTACTCGAATTGTTCTATGAAAAAAGAATTAAAACAAATTTTACACTTTCCATAGTATCAATTTAAAATTACTCAAAATAATTTAATTAATAATTATCTAATATAAAATACTATAATGATTAAATGTACTAACGAGGACACTATACAAATCAATACTTGTCGTTTGAGCTTATTTTGAGCCTATAAAGATGTGCTGGCGAGACTAGCAAGAAATGTAAACTGGTTTTTCTTCATCGGCCTTTAGAGCTGAGAAAAGATAGTTTTACTGAATTTTCGACTCATATTTTAGATCTATACTGGAAAATCAACTAACGGAATTTCAATTTGAAATCTTGCTCATACATACGCCGCATGACTGACAACATTCTTTTCGGCTGAAACTTCCAAGATACTCTAAAGCTTATTCGACTTTAGTAAAATGATCATAACTCGACTAATAAGGCTCATGGAGATGAACTATTTCAGACTATTGTTAGTCTCACAAATGCGCTCTTGTAGGACCAATATGAACTCAAACGGCGGGTATCAGTTTGAGTGGTTTCCTCATAAGTGTGAATGAATGATTCGAACTTTTTTTTATTGTTGTATATGTAGTTTTGTTTTTTCTTATTATTTACTTTCTATGTTAATATGATGAAAAATGTAGAAAGAAAAAATATAAAGTAGAAAAATATCAAAAAGAATGCTTCGTTCGATTTCTTGATAATGAACAGATAGATACTTTTCAAGACTAGACTTCTGAAAAATGGTCATGGTCACGGTCTCTCGTGGCCGTGATCGTGACTAGTTTTCGAAAAATTGCCGTGACTGAGATCGTGACCGTGACCAAATAGCTCGTGATCGTGACTTAACGATGAAAAAATCTTGATATTAAAAATTTGATTTTTCTGAATAAAAATCAAGATTTTAATTGATTTACGATTTTTTTTTGTTTTATTACAGAGGAAATCTACGAAATCAATTTAAATCTTGATTTTGTAGCACAAAAATCGAGCTAGTAATCCAAAATTTCCGTGACCGTGAATAATAATTTCGAAAAATTTTCGTGATTATGAACGTGACCGTGACGTGACTAAAAAATCGTGGTCACGCAGAAGTCTATTCAAGACTCATGGTACGCTGTATATTTGGATTCTTTTTTGAGAAAATTATGTTTCGAGCAGGGTTGCCACCTTTTGAAGTTCGAAAAGCAGAAAATAGCCTACAGAAGGCAGAAAATGACAGAAGTTTTATTGTGAAAAAGCAGAAAAAAAGCAGAAAGTGTGTTTCTGCTGCGAAACAATCTTTTAAGCTTTGACTGAATGAAATCACAAAGAATTTCACATCTATTTCCAATCTTGATTGTACAAAATCAAGAAAAAATCTAGTTAAGCACAAAAATAGAATTATTGGGTTCGTTTTCTTTTGAATGTGCATTTTACATCTGATTTAATAGCTTTCAAAAAATCTTCGTTGCACAATATATATTTATACAGCACTCGCAAACAGTTTCAGGATACTCGAAAAAAGTACTTTAACCCTTTATTTTTAAGTTGAATCTGAAAATAAGCATATGTTTGGCACTATTATTAGCCAAAGTTTCATATCTTATTGAACAAATGAATCTTCGCAATTTGAGACCAAGAGAAAAGTATCAAACATAAAATATCCAATGGCTAAAAGTTCTGTAACAAATCTCGTTCTTTTCGCCTATTGACTTTCCTTCACTTTCAAATACTATAAGTGGAAAGAGTTTAAAAAGCTGACTACAGTAGATATGTATTCGTTTAACATATTATAGTAGTCAGATGTTTTTCGTAACGAGGTTTTCCGCTACAAAAATGCTAAAAAAGTACCGTGAAAGAGGACAAATCATGTCGTAATTTTTGCTTGCTTTGAAAAGCAGAATAAATTCGACAAAATAACTCATTTATTGGACTCTCAAATATCAAAGAAATGCATTGGACGATAGAGAAAAACAAAAGTTTATCCTACTGCTTTTTTTCACGTAAAAATAGCTAAAATATTTTAAAATTTTAGATTTCTATTTTGTCTAGGCTGTGGTACATTGTTTAATGTAACACAAAGTCCGAAAATGTATAGTTTTGCTATATTTATCTTGCTCTTCTACATAAGCAGAAAAGATATAATTTCTCCTATTTCACAGTAGTTTTTTAACCGTTTCTTTTAGATCGCTAACATTTTTACAGAGGAAAACCTCGTTAAGAAAAACGTCTGCCTACTATAATTTACAATATGAAAACATCTAGGATAGTCAGTCTTTCAAGCTTTTTCCATTGACACTGTCTGGAATCGAAGAAAAGTTAATGGGTGAATAAAAAGATACTTGTTCAAGAACTTTCTGTCATTGGATACTTTATATTTGATACTATTTTTGTGACATCAAATAGCAATGATTCGTTTGATCAATAAAATATGGCATGTTGCTCAAGAATAATGCCAAACATATTCTTTACTTTCACAGTCAACTTAAAGTATTTGAAAACTGTTGTCGATTGTCTCGAAATTATTTGGTAGGGTTATAGATTGGCAGTTTTTTGCAGTCAGCGAAAAGCAAGAATTTTTCTTCACATTTTGAAAAACTGATGCAATATAATATAAAAAATGCTAGTTAAAAATATAATAGACAAGATATGCGAAAAAGCAGAAAAAAGCAGAAAAATCTTCAAAAAGCAGAATTTTTCTGCTAAAAGCAGAAGAGGTAGCAACCCTGGTTTCGAGCTCGATAACACAACCATTTTGAATCTAGTTACTTTGATTTGGATGTGGTTCAACTTTTTAACAAAATTAACGTTTCTGTCGATCTTTCTATCTAAAATCTTTCCGATATTTTCAAAATAGAAATGAAGAAGAAACATACATTATTCATATATATTTCACAGCAAACATATCAGAAGAATACCAGTCAAAATACCACATAGAATAACAGATAGATGCGTGTGACATATGACATGTGTTGAATCGAACTGATTTTCAATGATAACTATTCCTCATTTTTTCTTACGAGGGAATCACTGACGGTGATACGTCGTATTTGAGATGAAGCCGCAATCATCATTTAAGACCAATGGAGACTAGAAGAAGCGTAGAACGATTTTCTCCGTGCATTGTCCTTGTGAAGTTATGATCATTATACTAAATTGTTTACCTGTGGCATGATACTTATAAAAAAATCGGACATAGTAATTTCGGCCTAAAACGTTGCTCATAGACAGCTCTTGAAATCGTTAGGATCTTCTAGCAATCTCAGATTTTTTGTGAATTTGACACCTCAAGAAGCAGTCACTTATTTTGGCGAAAATCTTTAGGAAATTCTAATCATTTCAAAAACAATCCATAGGCAATGTTCCAGGCCATAATTCCAAAAAAGCAGCGTATGGGGAAGAATTCTTCTAGTCTGAAAAGGCCCTATGTAATGACTATCACTTCGGATGGTTTATTTTCGTTCATAAATGCTAGTATGATTGATGTGTATGTATGAATCATTTTTAGAGTTGGTACAGTACAGTTCCAGTTTCAAGAGATTTTAAACCTTATATACTCGTGACATCTTTTGAATTTGAAAGATTCTTCTTGAGATATACTTTTTCTATATTTTCCGACCATACATTTTTTTTCACCTCGACGGTTTTTTGTTTCTACACTTTTTCTGTTGTTATGTTTTCCTTGAATTCTCAGTTGTTTCGACTATTGCTACTAATAATATATTAGCTTTTGAATCAGCGTTTCGAATAATAATAATACTCGAAGCAAATTTTTAATCCATAGTTTACCTTTAGTGTTTCTACATTGTGTCAGCAAAAAAAACAAAGTATACTAGACGCTTTACTACTATCTGAGCTACTGAAGTGTTCAAAAAAAAATCTGTTTTGAAGCTTTAAAACAAACGCCGGCAACATACGCTAAAAGTAATGAAACAATTTTCATTCTGAATGTTATTTATGAAAGATGTTTTTATCTTTTTCTACATTATTTAAATATAGACATCAGCCGAAAAGTACGATTATGTAACAGAAATATGTTTTTATCTGATTTTCACTATAGTCAGTGACTAACGTCAGCAGTCACGTTTATTGAGATAAGTTTATTAAGAACATCATCATTTTCTAAGGTTGTTTTCAAATTAAATAAATTATCTGATATGAGAATATCGAGTTTTCATACAATTTACGTTATCATGCTCCTTTCACATAGAGCAATCTGTTTTATTATGATTGTCGTTTGAAATAATATTACAACTATCGAAATTTATTACGTAAAAATCGAAAATCTTTTTTGATGTCATGACATTTATGTTCTATCTTATTATTTTTACTAATATAAATATTCGACTGCTTGCACTTCATTTCTATTTGCTTCCATATGCTTGCTTTTCAAAGAAAGTCGGAAGTATTCACATGTTTATATTTGATTTTACTAAGTACGTAAAAATTGCATATTGTTGTTGTTGTTGTTTTTATATGCAATAAAATCATATATTTTATTCTGTTCGCATTTCTACGTTGTCATCTTTCACCGAAATTTTTTTGTTAGTAAAACGAATACATTGATAAAAAAAATGTGATGTTTTAACGTCATTCATCCACAGAACAAATATTACTCATATGATTCATTCATATTTCGCAAATGTTGAGTAAGAAATTATCACGCCTATGATTCAGTGCAATTGTGTAGAATAAATGATGTTTTTCTTTTCATTGTACAAACGATTTCTCAGTAATGCCATCATTTATTAGCAACAATAATGATTACCAAATATTATCAATCAATGCCAAAAAGTCGAATCAATATAGAATTCGACGAATGCAGGAAACTGATATTGACACAATAGTTAAACTTGAGCAAATTACTTGGCCTGATGAATCATGGTCTTCTGAAGTTTTTTTTGATTATCTTCATAATCCATTTTGGGACTGTTGGATACTTGCATGTTCTATCAATGATAATTCAATACTTGGATATGGTCTTCAGTATATAGACAATCATGTATCACATATAGCGAATTTATGTATTGATCCTTGTCAACGTGGTCGTGGTTTAGGTGGAATACTTTTACAATATATGATAGATTATTCTCGTCGATTAGGTGCGTCAATAATTGAACTTGAAGTAAATACATCAAATATACAAGCATATAATTTATATTATAAACATGGCTTTGTGAAAATTGGATTCTTAGAACGATATTATTTGGACAGCACAGATGCATATCGTATGCAGTTGATTCTTGATAGAATTTATTAGAAATTTCGAAGCATATCTTGCACGCTTTTTGTACTTATTGTTACCCTTTACTCATTCTCTTTTCTCGGATTTTAAGCTGCTACTTTTTATTTTTCGCCGAAAAGCCAATGACATTATTCTTCAAGGAGAGCCTACGATAGGAAAGAAAAAAAATGTCGACGAAAATTATTTTTTCTCTTGAGTAAAATGATACTATTCTCTAAGAGAATAAAATCGAACGATCGTATCGATTTAAATAAAGAATACGCCTTTTTCTTGATGGTAAAAGTCTAGACAAACTGTATGACACGAAAATTTCCATTTGCTTCGTTAATTTTAAGTGGTAAAAAACTGAAACAAATAAACATCATATTTCTTTTAAGTATACTTGTGTTATACGGAAAACAGAACAAGAAAAAATTCCTTTTCGACGACAACGTTAAAAGATCATAGAATTTCGCCGAACAAAGTAATAACATATTTTATCATGGAAAAAAAAAACTATTTTTAGCGTTGATTTTTTTGCATTATAATGCTATGCATCTAGTTGGAGACACTTCATTGTAGATATTACTTTCTCTTCGTATCCATGCGCAATTTACCAACAATTCAAAAGGTATCACCGACCTATATTATTAAAGTTTTAGTGCCACAACCATATGGCACATATATTGTTCGATATCAAACACCAAATGATGAAATACTTTCATCTATTCATATAAATAATCGATCAACAACATCATCTCTTCAAAGAGATCGTTATGTTGTATTATCAGTACGTGTTGATGAAACTTCATATAAATGTCCAGTAATGAATTATCGTTTGTCACTTATGGGACCGAATGGTCAAGAAAATCTTGCACAATTATTAGAACAATATAATCCAGAACGTGGTCAACTAGAAAAGTATACTCCATTAACACATGAATTAATTCTTCCAACAGAAGATCCAAATTGGATCTTAGATGCAAAAGACTTTCATCATATAAATTTTAATCGCGGTCGTTTTAGTGGTAAACATAATAACGGAATATCTGAAGCTATTTGGCAAAGACCAAATCAAGATGATATTAAAATATTTATTAAACGTTTTACAAAAAATAGTTCTTACTATGAAAAAGAATTGAATTTACTCAAACAACTTTGTTTTTTTTCTATTGTTACACTATTTGGTCATTATTCTGATGATCAAAATAATTATTTAGTATTTTCACATGGTGGAAGATCACTTGAATCAATTTGTCCTATACGAGCTCGAACAACAATATCAAGAATGTGTCGTATTATAAATATTGCCTTTCAAATAGCTAATGCAATGATTTATCTTGAAAAGAAAAATATTGTTCATCGTGATTTAACAGCAAGTAATGTTCTTATTGATTCTTATGGTTATATAAGAATTGCTGATTTTGGTCATGCCATACAAAAAGAAGAAGGAAAAAATAATCTTTCGCGTTCAGTTACAAATAGTGGTGAATATAGATTTCAAGTTCGTTTTCTTGCACCTGAATGTATACCAAAACCAATGCAGACTCGAACTAATCAACCTACTGATCAAATTCGAAGGGAAATTTATGCTAGTTTTTCATCAAAAAGTGATGTTTGGGCATTTGGTATTTTAATTATTCAACTTATGCTTAAAAATCCTTCAAAACCCTATCCTCATATAGACAATGATCGAGATGTATCCCGACGAGTTGCAATCGATCGTGAAATGCATCCAAAACCTGATGGATGTAATGTTGATATTTACTTAATACTTAAACAATGTTGGGCTTATGAACCCATAAATCGTATATCATTTATTGAAATTCGAGAGAAAATGAGAATGTTATCATCAATTTTTGGCTAATTACGTCTTGTATTTACTTTACAATGTGATTACGATGACAAATTAGATCTAGCTTACTTTTGTCTCCGAATTTTTCAGATAAAAAAAAAACTAATTTTTACAAAAAAAAGTATTATGGTAAGCGGATAATATTTCTTTCACGATATAATTATTGTATTTTTTTTTGTTTTTTATGTAGATCAGCAAATGTCTTTCATTAAAAAAAAGTTCTTTTTTTAACAATCAAAAAATCTCTAAGAGTATTAAATATAATTGCTGTGCATTTTCTTAATAAAACTCTATATATAGTTTTTATTTTATTTTTATTATTTATTGCATTTCATATTTTATTATCAGTATATCTGAATCTGTTATCAAGGAAGTGTGCATGACTCATTTCTACATACTAGTTATGAGAAAGCATTTATTGCATTTGCCTTTTCGATTTAAAACACCAAATACTTGATTGATAAGCTTTGCCTATACCAAATAATTGTTTATGGGAGACGTTCTTGATAGAACTATCGTTTTGTACCCAGAATATAATAAATTTTTCACATAATAAAATTTGATAAACAACCGAGTACAACCCTCTGCTATAGAAGACCTTGTTGAAGGAGTGGGGTATCGGATGTAATAAAAGACTATCTTCCTCCTCCTCTCTCTCCTTTTTTTTCTTATTTGATGTCTCAAAAAATTGTATCTTTAATCAGTATATTTACATGAAACTATGTCTAATTTTCAATTTGTTGAGTGGTAAACCTTAAAAAATGGAAATCATCATTATTTGTTAACTTTTGAAGTCCTAAAAATATCTTCCCAAATCCTCAAAAAATTGCTTCGATTTTCTGAAAAATCGTTTTAATTAATAACCCTGGAAATAAACGGGACAGAATTAAAGATCCAAGATCTTCTACTGTGACGGACGGGGTGGTCTATTTGGAAAAGATGAATCTCTCCATGTATGATTTGACTGATGTAGAATTTCACGAACTATATCAATCAGTTCCATATCCTATATCAGTGTATCGTTGATAGACATCACAGCAGACTAGCAAAAGCTTTGTTGATGATGAGACCTTCCGTATAATAACGCCAGAAGATTGATCATAATGATGGACCACCGGGATTTATTTAAGCTAGTAGATTTATCTCTCGGTGCATATGTATTTTAACTATATCAAAAGAGAGTCATAATTCTAAGCGATCAGTCTGCGTCATCAGCTACTTCTACGCTTCTAAGTATTGTTCTCGCTGTCATTCTCAATATTATTCCTTCCGTTAAAAGAATAGAGTTTATAAAAAAATCTCGAAAAAAAAAACTGAATCCTGAAAATTGTTGAATATCAATTGAATCGATGAAGTGCTATACGATACAAGAACCGAAATATTTGCATATAGACTTGTTTGAAAACTATTAATGGTTATAATTTTTATTATCATCCTTCGACTCTCCTTTACTCTTGTTTCAATATTGAAAATGTCTTATTCGATTTAGTTGAGTAAGTCGGCCTTAAATTTTTAATGAACAGTTCATTTATTCGCTGGTGTGCGTCGTTGCAATAGACTTACAACGAAGATTAGATAAGACTATCGGCTAGCAAGACTGTTCTATTCAGTACTTAACTCTATATCTTATCATGACGAAAAACAAATACACTGTCGAATTTTTGAATTGTAGTCATATGACAAATAGGGTTAATACCTTGATATTATAATATCTCAGTCTGCCCATACTATGGACATCTCATATTTTCAATTGGTTAGTGTGATAGTGGAGCTGATAATATAACTCGAATATGATCTATCTTCTACCGTGGCAGTACAAAGAATTCCCTTATGAGTAGTTATATAAATATTGTGGGACATGAGCATCAGAATTACATGTTTATCTTATCGCTTCTTTTTACCTCTGCTGACGATTTTTTCCCCTATATCTCAAGAAAGGAAAAAAAACTAAAATGAAATGTTGATCTATTGTGAATGCCCGACGGAGAGCTTATGAATTAGTATGCTTTTCAATAGTTTTCGAATGGTACTTAACAGATTTCAATCAGAAAAAAAAGTACAATATGAGTGAAAACTAATAACGTACTTACGATAAAAATAAAAGAATGAACTGACCTACAGATGCTTCAAAGTTTTCTTTTCGTCGAACTTTTTTTTTCTCGAAAAAAATTCGTCTAAGGCCCGCTTAGGGTTCAGTGAAAAAGTTAATTTAATCAAAATATCATTTTTATTGTTCTGTTATTTGTCATTTTGCCTTATAGTATAATACTTTGTAAGCATAGAAATTGTCCTTCACTATTTCAATGATTTTCTAATTAAATTGAATTGTTTGACTGAACTTCGAGAAAGATCTCAGTCGACGCTTGTTTACTGTTATTAGCTTTGACTCAGACCGTATTTTATTATCTGATTGACATCTGTAAAATCCTATTCAAAACTACAACAAAAGTGGTATCTAAACACCATCCAACTTCTCTTGTATAACGAAACCAGCTTCAAAAACTATCGAAAATTATATAATTTTATTGCTCTTCCGTCAAGTATTCCGAATCACTGATAACTTCATACTGATTCAATTCAAGACATAGAAAAAACAATAAGCAGATGTAAATAAGAGCGATAAAATAAGCATTTAATCGTTATATTCGTCTCAGATAATATTTATATAAGTACTCAGCAGCACTCCAACCCTTCGTGCTGAAGTTGTTGTCAAAGATAGATTATAGAATGTGTGCACATTAAGATGAAATGTGTCGTCATCTATTGGCTAATCATTTCTTCGCCGTTTTGTTAAGTGCGTACAACTACATATAAGCGATTCGGTTAAACATATTGAACTTATGTATTTTCGTATATCTTTTTATTCTAGATCATTCATGGTTCGAGAACGCATTGACAAATTGATCAATGTTTAAGACTGGACTACCTCGAGACAAGCTAATCGAGATCAAACCAATATGGCTCGAAGAATCGATATAACTAATTCCAATTCAAATAAAAAAGTAGGAATTATTCGATTATGTAGCAAAAAAATACACACTTTCTGAGGGATAGATTTGAATCATATTTTCAATTTGTGTCACAAAGTGGAACACATTTTATGTTAGTGTGTAGCTGGTTGACATAGTTTCCAGTTTGAAATGCTATGCTATGAGAAAATTTACACAGCTTAATTTTTTTACATTTGAATAATCAAATTTATGATTGAAAAATAAATATCAATATTTGCATCCAATGATTTCTTGTGAAATTTTATATGAGACAAGTCATGAATGAAGGGAAATTGAAGTTAACTTCTTATGTCTTCCTACTCATTACTGTAAATATGCAGTAATCTATAATTATAAAGAGAAGTGTGTAGCTGGCAGTTTAATTTATTTTGATTGAAATATTATCATACGATTCAAAGGAATTCAAACGAAAAATAATCTTCAGAAAAGACGATTAAACTATTTGACTGTGAAGACTTTTTTTTTAGATTCATAGAAATCTATAACTCTGTTATTTTAAGATAACGAAATTAATAATTCAAATGAAAAGGAGATTGTATGTATGTGGAAATTCCTTCAGAATATAGAACTGTTATATATCATGGAGATATCTCCATGATAAAATCACTTCATAAAAAAACTCAAAACGCATAGTACCAGGTCATCGATCCTCGAGAAACCTTCTTTTAGTACAAAACTGATGAGAAGTCGTGATTTCAAAACTCAAAAGCCCAAATTTACTAACCTTTCTAGTAGTTTTTCTTCCAGTAGAAAACCAAAATCTGCAACACTTAAATAGTCAACTTTTTGGATATCTAGGAAAATTTTTAAATAAAAAACATTAATTCTCAATAGAAAGTTCTCGTTAAATGAATTATGTGAGATTTTATAATAGACGAACAGACACTCTAATTCTTACCGAGAGGGTTTATTTACTTATGTCGAAGCAAAAAATAATATTTAGTTTAGATGATGACAACATTTCTCTTCATCGTATTATTATATTTGTTAAATAAAATAGTAACATTCTTTTGTACTTATCTTTTTCGAATCTGAATTATTCAGGCATCTATCGTATTCATTTTCGCAGAAAATCAATAAATATCTATACTCTTTAACTTGCAATGCATAAATCTAGAATATGTTATTCCACTTGACTCCACTTCTTAATTCCTGCTCTTATCCAGAGTGAAACAAGTACGGGCTGATCAGATAATGCGGTAATTAGTTTTGCTCGAATCTCTTTTCCATACTCGTGTAAATCAATTGAAAAAAAAATATTGGTTTAATCTATAATCTAATCAGTTCGACTTAATAGAGTGCGAAGTTAATAATTACAAAATTAGATCTTAACATAAATGGCAGCTGATGTAAGTACAAGCACATTCAATATGCATCTACTTGGATAGATATCCAATCAGATTAGTATCGGATCAACCATTTCGAATTTATGATCGATTTATGCCTAATCATTTGTTGTTTAATCTATCACAATCAAATAAGTAATCGATTCACCAAATAATTCATTCATTCGAGACAAAAAAAGATACGCACTATAGAAATAGGAACAAAAAATAAAATACAAATCGAATGATACATTATAAAAGAAAAACGAGAATTTTAATGAGATTCGAATATTCATTTTCGATTTGATGTACGTTTCGTTTTTGATTGTGTTGCATTCGATGTTACTTGAGTTGGTGTATTTTGTTTTGATGTTCCAGTCGGACGTTTCGTTTTATTTGCTGATTTATTTAATGAATTTAATGAAGCTAAAAACAAATAAAAAAAAAAAGAAACATAAACAGTCCTTCAAAACTAAGGTATTTTTTTCTCGACTAGTTCAATTTTACTTGTTAATACTGAATATATTTTTTGATCAATTTGATCGAGATTAAAATTTGGTATATATCGTTTTTCACCTGCTGCTGTATCGTCTAAATATTTGATTTTATAAGTAAAAAAAAAAAAAAGATTTTAGTAAAACAATTTCGTTTTTACTTTCAACTTTAAGTACATAATATGTACTTCTTCCAGTAAGATATTGTGAAGCATAGTCATCACCATGTGTATGTAATTCTTTTAATTTTCCTTCATTATCCATAAGATCAATTATTTCTTAAAAAGATAGAAATCATTTTTTTTTAATTAACAAAAATAATAATAATAAATTTTCTTTTACCATCCTGTTGAACACCAATCATTGGTTTAATATGATCTAATAAACGATGACAAGAAGCATAACTATTCAAAAGTAGTTGTTGATTCTCTAAATTAAAAAACAAAATTTAATAAAATTTCAATTTAAAAAATAGCTTAATAATAATCTATTACCACCATATATAAGTCTAATAAATGTACAAGTTCCTGAGAAAAATTGTTTTTTATTATCAGTTGTTTTTACTGTTGAAATGGAACTTATGGACGTATTTTGTCTGGATATTTCCATGTTTAGTTCATTTGTCTGCCATTTTTTTTCTCAATCCATAAAATGAGATTTCTGTTCTATTGTTCTTATATACTATAGTAACTTGTTCCTTTTTTTTTTATACTGTTTGCAAACCATTTTCTTTCTTTTACACGCCTTTAAGCTATATATGCTTCAATGTCATTACTTATTTCTTCATACAGTAAATGGATTTACTGCTTGAAGACATAACCACACGCACACATATATTTTTTTTCATTTTTTAATTTCTACTATTATAATAATATACCTTTTGTTAAGGACAAAGTTGAATAGATGATTGTTACCAATGGATTGACAGATGTGAATGATGTAGAAAAAGATTCGCTTAAGTTTGATGATTCAGCTGCTGACAAACTTTGACTTAGCGATAGTGAATTATTATATATTTGAGATTGATAATGAACACGACGTGAAGATGATGAGATCACAGATGCCATTAGGCAAGTAAAAACTAGTAGTAATTTTTTACGAAAAAAACTTTAGTAATCGGATCGTTGTGATTGAATTCTGAACAAAAACAATATTTCTTTTGTCGTTATGAATTAAAATGAAACCACAATTTACTGTTGTCATAACAGAATAAACTAAGAAAAAAAATCAAGCAAGTAATCTTTTCTTTTTCTTCATCATCCACTTGACATTGTTTTTTCTGCACGATGAAAGAAAATGTAATAATAATTCATGTTCTTCATTTCAAAATTAACTAGTGAATAAATTTATTTCGTTACATCAAAAAAAAAAAAAAAAAAAGAAAGGAGAAAAGAAGAAAAAAAAAACAAGACAATGATTATGACAAGTCTGACATTTGAATAGATACGAAAAGAATACAAAAAGAAAACAAAAATAATAATAATAATAATTAATCTGACATTATTATTTTTTAGAGACAACTAAAAGAAAAGCACAGATAATTGTTGCTTAACAAACAAGAAAATACTGGATTGAAAAGATTTAATCATCTTCATCTTCAATTTCCTTAAAATAGAAAAAAAAAAAGATGTTTTCTTTTATTCTGTTAAAGAAAATCTATTTACAGGATCAACTTCCATTTGTTCATTATCTGTTGCTGTCATTGATAATTGCTGTTGTTGAAAATAACTATTTAAAAATATAAATAATCAATATATATATATATTTTTGAGATATTTAATATTACTAGTTTTCTAATTGTACAATAAATTTTCTAACAAGTAAACGTTCACGTAAAGGATTTTCTGTTCGTCGTTGTCGAACACCTTTTTTTTTCATTAATAAGATAATATGTTTTATTTATTCATTTTTAAATATTTAATTGTACTTACTAAATGTTGGCATTCGTAATTTTTGATAAGATAAAAAAATCATCATTGCACTTTCTTGATCCATTTGAAATAAAATAAAAACGAAATTCTTACTCTAAACAAGGTCAAATTGAAACAAATAACTTTGATTGAAAGATAATATATAATAATGACATTTGTTTTGATTTATTATTTAAATTAGAATTTATTTTTATTTATATAAAAATGAAAATAAAAAAGAATTTAAGAAAGTATTTGAAATGTCAAAATTTGAAATATTTTCTTTTTGAATTAATTTTACTAGATGTCGTTAGTTGATGAGTATTGAATATCAAAGAACAAAAAAAAAAAAAGTAGCTGTAAACAAAACACCTAGCCGTGTCAATGGAATTGAAAACAGTTCTGTTTTCTTTTATATAATTTAGATCTTTAATTTTTTTTTTCTTCGATCGGTAAAATAAAAAGTTCTTTCAAACAAAAATTATCAGATGCATTGGGAGGCATGGAGTGTCTCATTTACTCTAAGATGTATACATGTAAATTCTTGATGATGAAAGTAGTTGATAAAATATTGATATAGTATTCTGATCAAAGTCTTTTTGACATTGCATTCGATAAGACTACAATAGCTTTTTTTCTTATTTTTTTATTTTATGAAGATTTGTAATATTAAAATTTGATCATTTTTAGTTTGATAACACTAAAAGAATATCGTTCATGTAAAATATATGGCTACCAATGAACGAGCTAAACGAGAGTAAGTTCTGACAATAAAGAAAAATAAATTGTTAAAATTATTTTTGGTTATATTTTAATATTTTTAGTTCAACAGATCGAAATCTTTTGAGCAAAATTCTAAATGATTTAGAACGCAGTGATAAAACAGATAATCAACGATTAGAAGATAAAGCATTAGATGACTTTCAGTAATTTATTTTATTATTGATATAAATATTTGAATTCTTTTGTTTTTTCTTTTATTTTTAGGTCAAAATTTAGTACTAAAGCAAAATTTTCAAGTCATTCTGAACACAAACAATTCCTTAATGTATGTCATATTTGGTAATATACAAAAAGCATTTTATTCTTTTCTTTTCTTTTCTTTTTCCATAGTTTTTACATTTTATTATAAAGAAAAAATTACTTAATCCGTAAGTATTCTATACAAAGGAACAGAAGAATATTGAAAAATAATATAAATAAAGAATTTTTTAATGCTTTTTTAGAGACAATAGGAAAAAAGTCTGAGTTAAAAATTAATTTTGTATCATCAACATGATAAATATTTATTAAAGATTTCTTATCAAAATAAAACTAAAATTGTTTAAAAAATAATCCTTGACATATATACTATTTAAATGATTACGGTTCTAATAAGGCTTAGAAAAGCATATAATCGTTTTGTTTCATAGAAATTCCTTTTAAGGTGGTTGATATTAAATTGTAAATACAATATAATTATATTCAAAGACCTCTCATTACTTTGAAGTTTTACTCAAAATAAACGTTTATTAGTTACGTTCCACATCAATTTCAATAGTATCTGTCCAATCGGATACTACTCCGACTGGGATCGGTACATACGTAGATACTAATAACTGTATCCATCAGCCTGTGTCATTAAAACCTCTTGTTCATTTCCAAATGTTTCACTGCTTCAAACCAATGCTATGCGTAAATGTTTACAATTTTCCTTAAGGATTTACTGTTAAATAGTTAGACCAATTCTCTCATAACCTAGATTTTTGAATGTATTAAACCCCCCCCCCCCCCCCAAAGGCTGTTGACGCTTTTCCCGGCGCGTGTGAGGTGCAAAAACGACGGACGCTCTTCGTTCGTAGCCGTCCGATNTGAATTTTCATTCAGAAAAACAAAAATGATATGTTAGTCGTGTTTCGTTAGCTCAATGGTAAGAGCACTGGTCCGGTTAACCAGCTATCATGTCTTGGGTTCGATTCCCGAACGAAGCATATCATTTTGTTTTTCTGAATGAAAAATTCAAACATCGAAAGATAAAAGGAAGAAAAAGTATATCATATAAAACATGTATAACTCCTTTCTAATATCTAATTATCTGTTGTTATCTCCTTTTTTTTTATTTTGCAGAACTTTTGCTTTTTCTCTTCTGCTATGAGTGACAAAGACAAAAATATGTAATTTCACAAGCAGATGAAATTCTTGTATCTTCTTCAATATAAAAGTATTTTTTCTAGCTAGAATCAATCATTATTCATTGAACAATTCTTATATTGATTTAAGTATGACTCAAAACAAACGACAAGGACATACTTTGACAGATGATTGGGATGATATTAAGAAGAAAAAGTTACAATGTACTTCTCTTTTCTCTTCAATTAAAAGTAATACAAACAGGTTAGTAAGACGTATATAAAATTATTGTTTATATTATCTTTCATTTCTTTAAAGAAGTTCGATCAGTCAATTTGAAAATCTTTCAAATGAAGTTATTTATGAGATTTTCGAATTTCTTGATGCTTGTCAACTCTACGAAAGCTTTTTCGATCTTAATATACGATTTCGAAATCTTTGTAAACATTCAAATCTTCCAATTCAAATCAATACTCAATCTGTATCTAAATCGACCTTTCAACGTATTCATACTGATTTTATTCTGCCTAATAGACATCGAATTCAATCACTTGATTTATCAAATTCATTCATTATCAATTTTTTTTCTTCATCAACAGAAGATATTTCAAAATGTTCTCAACTTCAAACACTTATTCTTGATAAGATGGAGTCAGGATATCTCGAAAATCTTCTTAGAAGTTTAGATTCTTTATCTAATCTATCTTCATTAATTATTTTTATTGGTCTTAATTCAAATAAAAACATTCTCTGGAATTTGATATTCCAGTTACCGGTGCTAAAATATTGCAAAATATCTTCCGAAGAAAATCTTTATTTAGGATATTTGCCAATGTCTACCAATACAATAAGTTCTATTAAATATCTGGATATTAATAGTAAATTATATTACAATGATGTTGATACTATTTTATCATATGTTCCTCAACTTCATCGTTTATCAATCAATTATCTGTATCCATATTACACAGGCGGAACACATGTACCTCTCTTTACTGTAAATAATTTAACACATGTATCTCTTACATTAGATCATTTGCTGTTTGATCAATTTGAAACATTGGTTAAAAACTACCTTAGTCAAGTAAAAGTATTGCAGATTTCATCAAACTATGATTCGACATATATAAATGCCATACGATGGGAAAATTTGATTTTATCCCATATGTCATATTTACAAATCCTTGACTTGCAACATATATACGACATAGTCTATCGTAATAACCAGGCACTTATGCATGAGAATATATTTCAATATTTTACTTCTCCATTTTGGATTGAACGACAATGGTTCTTTGCACATGATACTAATTTTGGATCACCTCCACGTGGAATCTTCTATTCAATTCAACCATATAGGTAAAAAGAAATGAATTTTGTTCAATATTAGATGTCAATTCTATTTTGATTTATTAAGAAGAAAATACTTCACATTAACCGGCGAGCTCAATTCAGATGAGTGTCCATCTCAAGACAAAACTATTTTTGATTCAGTTCATCATGTTATTATTCAAGATGAAAGGATGATAGGCAATTGTTCAAAATACTTTCCAAATACCAATGAACTCACCATTTCCGATCAACGTACAGATCGTGCTAAACGATCTGCAATTATTAGTATCGATTATATTCTTCCTTTGATACAACTTACTAAACTAACAATTGATTATAGTCATCGTCCTTTCAGTAAAGTGATTGATTTGTTATATTCGACACCTAATGTTCATACATTAGTGGTCAAATGTGTATCACTCGTTGCAACAGATTATTTTCCATTACAACAAAGTGAAAAATTTCGATTGGTATCAAATTATAATAAAATAATAAATGTTACTATTTTGTTTGATTATTCATTACGCAATATTCAACTATTGATGAATCTCTGTCCTAAAGTACGACAAATTTATATTGGCACTTCTGAGAATTATCTTGAATCAACTATGCAATTTTTAATGTCAGCAACTAAGAGAACTAATTGTTATTTATCTTCAATATGTATTTTTGGTGTGAATACAACTATTAATGAAAAATTGAAAACTCTAATTGAATCCGAAAAATTTATTAATAATTATTCAATAAAAACCAGCGGCCAGACATTCGATCTTTGGTGGTGACATTCATTATTAATGAAGTCTTTTTGGTTGACTGTTATTCTGTTTCAAGCAAGATAAACTATGAATAGTTTTATATTCTTCAGCACAAAGACGAATTACAAAAGGCTCCACATGAATTAGTTTAATTGACGTGTGGATAATGCTAATTGAAAAGATAGTATATTCTATCGGAATACAAGCTGAATTTTTCTATCGTACGAGAGTTTCGATAACAGTTTCTCGTTTCGCAAATACAAAGAAATATATTGCTTCATATATGTACACACATTGAGGACAAATTTCTCGTTCATTCTTCCTCTTGTTTTGAGAACGACATTAACAGAAAAGAAAAGAAAAAGAAAAATATTCCTTTATGCTTTCTCTTTCGAAAAAGTTCCTTGTTCTCCTTCCTATATGCTATATATTCTTTTGTAACATTTTATCCACGCAGTATAAATAGCGAAATTATTTCCTCGTTCAATCCGTCGTTTTTTCACATAAGAGTAGATATATACAAGCTTATGGGCTATTACAATGTGGGCGGGGTGTCGGTGAAGAGGAGGCCAACACCTACATCCCACACCCATGCTTCTCCAGACTTTTTAGGCAGCAATCTATATGAGAGGAAGCTCAAAAATCTGGTTTGCGTCTCAAAAATAAGATGTCAAGAAAATTCATGGTGTGTTCTAGCATTATATTTCTGAGATTTACGATAGTGATAATCGTTATCAATGTGGTCGACTTCATATTCCTATCCACTTTAGAAAATTGAATCTTGAAAAACTTTTTTTTTCAAAACCTTGTAGAGGAGGGGGACAGAGCAGATAGCCCATATTGATCTTATTATCTTCACATAGTTATTTCTTGAAAATATCGTGGGGCGAAAAGTGATCTTAAAGCCTCTCATCCTTTGATAACTTCCTCAGAACTTATCAATTATACATCATTAGTAAGTAATGTCTAATGATGATTTTAAGATATTTCACCAATATGGTGAGAAGCAGTGTAAGAACGGCGACAGAAATGGTGATTATAGACGATCATGGCAAGTGCAGATACTTTTCACTGTTTTCGAGTCGTTTACAGACCGTTATATATGACGTCGAAATGGATCAATTGAATAAAACAAAGTGCACAAACCAGAAAGAGAAGAGATTTCTCGATTCCAAATCGAAGTTGCGCTTCTTTGTTGATCAGATAAGATTTATTCTTCTGGGTGTCACTGTCAATTGAAGAGCAATCATTTCCCAAACTCCATTGAATTGTTTGAAAAAGAAGAAATTGTCTTTGACTTTGTCATATTCTGACACGAATCTACATTGAGAGAAGGAACAATAGAGAATGTTTGTCGAAATGGCCAATTCATTTCCTAATCTTCACAACAATCATTTAGATTGACAATGAACAGGTATCTCATATAGATCTTCAATCAGATGATCATCGTCAGAATTTGATCCATATGTCTTCTTCGACTTTTTCTTTTCTCTTTGAAAATTCAATGCAAACATCACAGGTAAGTGATTAGTTTCAAAGAAAAAAAGTCAACATCGATATTCAATTCGAAGACAGAGTTTCGTTTTGAAAACAATTCTTGAACAATAGATCGAGAACGAGTGAGAAGAGATGTCAGATCAATTGTGCATCTGTTGCAATATTCTCTTATTGAATTGTTCATTGACCGATGAATTAATCTTTTGGTAGATTCATTTCAATAATCCATTTGAGAAGGTCTTGTGAGAAAGGTCAATTTGATCTCTTCAATTGAATATCAGTGTGAAGAGAATTTTCGATATTAATTGGATACATTCGAGATCACTTTTTCAAGAGAATTCTTCTCACTTGTCAAATATTCGATAGATCACTGTTCTTTCAATCGCTGTTGATCTATTCAGAAAAAAAAGATGAAGAAGGACTCAATTCGAAGATAGTCAAATGAGCGATCAAATTTCTTTCGAATCGTTTCTCTTCTGCTATTAATGTTGAGTTCTGTTAGTTTCCCAAGGAAAGACTCGTGATCGTTGAATGAAGTACAAAGCTTTCGTTTGTTAAGTGTCTCATGTTTGAGAGAGAGAAAACTAACATTGAACGGTAAAACAAAGATTAATTGAATGAAGTTATATTGAGTCTGTCGAACCGAGAGTTCAATTAGACCTATTCGATTGTGACAGATTTCGGCTCGAAACTAATTAGGTTCGGATTGTTCTTCAACAAATCGAACGAGAACAGTTCGTTTATTTGTCGAAAAGAATTCATTCTCTCATTGGATTCGATCTGTTCTATGATCATGTCTCCGTTGAATATGAATAATCAAGAGAATGAGAGAGAGAGTGGAAAACTTTGTTCAGCAGTTTTCTCTTTTCGTACAATTCAATACCAAATAACGAATGAGTGTCTTTTTGATGAGATCGATCGTCGTGATTGACTAATCCAACAAATTCAAGACCATGCTAAAATAAAATCGAAGAGAAAAATCAACGAGTGACAACAAGATCAATTTCGAGACAAAACTAATTGCAAAGGAGTCGATCGATAAGAAACACTTAACTGTTCATCGAAGATTTCTTGTCATGAGCAAAAGTTAATATAAATGCTGAGACAGAAAGACTTTGAAAAGAGAATATCTCTTCATGCACATCCACAAATGCCCAGTTTTTGATCTGTTTCAGAACGAAATAAAAATCTGAAACCATTTCCTGAAGTCAGTAATATAAATTTTTAACTGATAATGAACGAAATCTGTCATCGAGTTAACATTCTTTATGTTTGAACAATGTTAACGACTTCAACATTGTACATAAATGAATATCGATGCGTGTAGTCCATTTGAAATATATTTTCTTTCATAAAAATGCTATTTTTTTGACCATCATTTTTCGTTTATTTTCTCTATGGACTGTTTTATTATTGCTGTGAGCAGTTTTTCTAAATAGGATGTGTAGTTGACAAAAATTTGAAAAAGAAACGCACAGTGTTGTTATGTTATACAAACAAAAAGCGAATCATTCAAAAAACAAGCGAATGATGTTACATACACAATATTAACTTTATAGAAACTTGAGGCAGAAATGAAATTGACAACCAGAACAAACAGTTCAGTGAAAACTATTTGGTGAGCAAAAAGGCAAAGAATATGTTCCAAAAAAAAAATCGAAGACTTTCTTTAAGGAAAAAAACGTTTCAACAAATATAAAATACGTTTGGAAATGGAATGTTCAACATCTCTTTCGTTTCTAAATAGATTCTACTTACTTATGAAAATGTTACTGCCATTCCCGCAAAAAAGAATTGAAAAAAAAAACAACGAATTCGAAGTTATCTGCAATCTTTTCCTTATTGTGTTCTTCACTAAACTGCTCGGCATTCGTTTCTTCTATACTGAATCGAGTTTTTTTTATATGAAATTTTAATTCAATGCTTTCTTCTAGTTTAGAACGTAAGACTCTGTTCAAAAGGGTAATATGTTATTCATTATACTAATTTGACGATTCCAAGGTAATGCAAAAATCTTACTTGAATTTAATAACACAGTAGACGAAAAATGGGAACTATTAATGTTGTTTTTATGAAATAAAAATAGTAACATAATAAAAACGAACTATTTATGTAAATAAAAGTAAGGTAAAACAATACAGATAAATATATTATTAATCTTTTACAAAACGAAGTAGAATATTAAGCTTTCAATAGAAAGAAAACGAAAAAATGGTGTGTGTGTGCGTGGGTGGGGTTGCCTGTAAAAAGGCCGAACGAAAAAATGTCGAAAAATGAAAATGTCGAAGGATGTGGGTGTGGGTTACCCTTAGTTGATCCCACACTCACACCCACATACACCACCCACACATCGCACACACCCCACACCAACACCCTGACAGAACAACATAACAAAAGCCGCCTTTCACTAAATAAAAAATTTTACTCTAATCGAAAACTTCTAACACATGAAAATCTGAAACTAGCTCCTGATAAACACTTAGGAACAAAACAGCCATATATATGATTCACTACGGCAATTTCACTTCGTCAAAATGCGTCAAACTCCTCACAATTTTTGTAAACGCACTTATACAGCAGATAATCAAAATTTTTCGTGCCGATCAAAGTTCATTATAGCAAGATAACCCCAATACCATAAACACGAAACAAAGTAACCACAGGATCTAATGCACATCACAAAAATTAATCTCAATCTTAAGCAACCGTCAGCATTCAGCTAACTTCAACCGAAAACGAATTAACTGTAGCAACCATGCACGAATTATAAAACTCTAGCAATTTTGAGCTTATATATGCCAATATAGCAATGCATTGAGCAAACATCAGCCGATACACGAATTCTAGGTTTTTAGAGGGTATACATGATATTATGCCGATACAAATCAATACATTGTTGTGCTAGTATTTCTTCGTTGTTTCGCAGAGTAAAAATTGTATCTGTATTTGCGCAGCCCTCACGCACATTCGCACTTCAAATACAGAATTCGTTCTTTCAACATGGATCGTCTATCAAACAATCTGCAGCAACTTTTAAGCATCATCTAGATCAGTGTATCATAGTATTATTGACCGAAGCATGGATCCACTGGATGGGTATTTGGTAGGATGAGGGTTTCTGTAGTCAAATTTAGCGTTATACTTTCGTATCCGAGAAAAGTCACTTGAATGAGCATACCGTTCCAATAGCCGCTCGGTGGCTGAAGTGCGTTAAACGAATAGATAATCGATGTGTCAGTCTGTGCCTGCCAAAAAGGAAATATATATCCATATATACAATAATATTTCTGTACAACTTCGATTTTAACACTTACAGTCAGCCAGACAATTGGATTGCGGACTTCCTTGCTCGTGGTTAGATCTAATTTACCTAGTCGAAACTCTCGCCTATAAAATAGACATTCGATGAGAAAACATCTAAGTTTTCATGTACCTAGTGCCAGTAACAGTTCGAGCCTGATAGACCAGGGTATTTATCGGCTTGGACTGTCCAGTACTGAAATCGACAACAGCACGAATTTGTCCATACGTCTGATTTATTGTTCGTGTCCAGTTCACTGACGGCAAGATTTGTTTCTAAAATTTCAAAAAATCCTACTTGTAAAATCAATAAAAATTACTATGAACTTACATCATAAATGCTCATATAGAAACTCAGAAGATCTTTTTCATATCCTGCTATGTCATGTCCAATAGTTGGTATTGGTCTAATCGCTGTATGTTCGAATCAACGTTTTTAGTTCGTATATTCTTATCAAAAATAGGCACCACTTGTCTTTACTTGTAGATCGTTACAGAAGAAGTTCTACGAAAAATACCAGTATGAAAACATTATATATACTTGTTTAACATATACTTCGCTGTCGGGTAGAAAAACCTCATCATCGGCTGCTTCAATTTCAAAGAATTTTATTTTGGCATATCGATCAAAGTAGACTGAAATATGCAAATCAAATCGAATTCGAACAAATGCAAATATGAGAATCGTACAGTGAGAATCGATGATTTCGGCCAAGCCATGCAAATAGGGTGGGTGTGGGTGTGGGTGTGAGCGGGTGTGGCTGTGGCTGTAGATGCAGCTGTTTTCTGTATGCACAGTTCCACCCCACATTCACACTCACATCCAATTCAGTCACCCACGCCCATACCCACACCCACCTACATCCAGACCCCACACCCACCCTTACCTACACCCCACCCTAATATTAATGAAATTATTCTTGAAGTAACACTTGATGAACTGATGAATGCAGTTCTAGCTAAAACGAAAAAAATCTCTAGATGCTCATGATATTTCGAATTATATGTTTAAATTGCTTGATCTTAATTACTGGTCTTTATTGCTAAAACTTTACAATCATTCTTTTTGAAAAGTCAGTTTTACATTCCGCATGGAAAGATACCCGAATGATCTTATTAGCTAAAAAAGATTCCATTTGTCCACCGTCTTTAACTCGTCCTATTTCATTTCTCGATTCATTTCAAAAACTAGGCGAAAAACTCTTTCTTACTCGATTTCATGATCTTTAATTTAGAAGAGGTCTTCTATCTGATAATCAATCCGGTTTTAGAGATCGTTTTCGTTTACAAACACGTTTACTTCTTTTTCTTGAGGATATATAGTCTTATGTCAAATAGTGCTCCTGTATGTACTATTTTTGTAGATTTTTGCGCTGCTTTTGATCATTTGTGGTTTCTAGGTTGCATTGAAAAACTACGTAATTTGGATATCCCCCCATCCTTTCTAAATTGAATTGAAGTATGGTTAAATAACAAACGTTGCTTCATAGAAATCAATGGCAGTAAATCTCGTTGGTTCTCTATCGAAAAAGGTGGTCCACAAGGAAGTGTTCTTACTCCAATCTTATTCATCACATATAATTATGATATGAGTAGCTCTCTATCTGAATGCATAAGTCACTTCTTTGCTGATGATTTAGCTGGAATTATGTCTGGTCAATTAAGAATAAATTATTCGTCTCAATGTCTTGATTTAGAAAAAAAGAGTTAAAGTTTTTCTGGACCAACTAGACTATTTTTCCTGTTTAACTGATCAGCCTATTAATTTCAATAAAACTCAAGCTATATTTAGTGCGCGAGCAATTGGTCATCCTAATTTCCTCATTCATTTTTGTCGCGGAACAAAAGAAATAATTAAATGGGTCCCAGAATATAAGTACCTTGGTTATCTAATTTTATCAAAGTTAGATTGGGGTAAATTTTTAAAATGTATGATGACTAAAATTAGGCAAAGATTTTCCTTGATTAAATCTTTTAAGATCTTTGATTGTTCTTCTCCACATCTTCGTAAAACTCTTTTTCTATCCTTTGTTTTACATATTTTTACCTGGATTTATCCAGTTCATCTTCTGCTGTCAGAAAAACAACAACAAGATTTGTCTCATTTTTATTATACTTCGCTTTAGGCATGTATTGTTTTGTCTAAATTGAAATGAAAATTTTTTCGCATTTGCTCTTGATGAAAAATCCCTGGAAGACAGATGCTATTCTTATTGAGAGAAATACCTTGTATCACTTGCAGACTCGATTGATGGTGAGTTATTGTTCGAAAAAGCTAATTTGAATGTATTCAGACAGATTTGGATTGAAAAACACTTTTCAGTTAAATGTCTGAGAGCATCGAAAACATTTATTCCTCACCATTTAATAATTGAAAAAATTGTTGGTTGGATGGCTTCTATTCCCTCTCGCTCTTCTGTACCTGTTTACGAGACTGATGAAATCAAACTCCTTGAGAATTTTCCAGAATCTTTTGTTTCTATGTGTTAATTTTTTCTTATAGACCTCACTATCTTGTCATACGGTCTGTTGCTATGATTTATTTTTTCTTCTTTTTTTGTTTTGCTGTTGTTTTTCTTATCTCTCTCTTCCTCCTTTGTTTACTCATATGTACTGATAGGATCTTAGGATCACAGTTTTTTTAGCATAGTAAAGAAAAAAAGAATGACTATCTAGTAGATATAATATTAAGATTCCACCTGATGAGGTCCAGCCAAAACAGAAACAACTGCTGTCATAGACCAGCTTATATCTATTCACACCCTCACCCTCAAACTTGATCACTTCATGGCATCTCTGTTGAGGATAGTAAGCTTACAAGTGCTAAATGAATATTTTTCTACCAATACATTGTAAAATATCCTTCTGTGAGATGAAGATGCGTATAACAGTCTATGCATGAATGATGTGGTGTATATTATCACAAACTAAAATGTAACAGTATGCATGTAATTCATGTGCTGCTTTTATGTTAGCATTTATTGATAGCTCAATAACGTTACAGTTTAGAAGTGTGTGTTCGAATGTTTAATTAGAAGTACACAGACAGTCCTGATAATAGTAATAGTTTTCTAGGCGTATGATTTACGCTACAAATGAATGTTCACAAAGCGCCTATGGGCGTATCAAAGAAAGAGAAGAGAGAAGAACAAAGAAAAACTGAGAGATACAAATCAGTAGAGAAGGTGAACTCAATGAAGTATATATGTCTGTGTTCAACAAAATAGGTGACTGTTTTCATCAGAACGCCAAATTTCATAACCTTCAAGTTCATCCAACGTGACCTCCGCATAAGCCACAGGGACGGGTTCCAAATTGTCAAACAGTTGTCTAGATAATGGAATGTGACCGATAACAAAGTCACTCTTCGTTTCAGATATATTTCATAGGCTTAATCTAATTATATCGTCCTTAGATGGCCGTTAATCATAGCTGTTTTTGTAAATTCGCAAATGTGTCTGAAAGTCGTTGATTACAAGAACTTTCACTATACGGAATTCTCCTTCTTTAATCTTAATAGTGCATATTGAGCCGGTAACAATGCTATTTGTAGTTTGATTATTCATGCCAAATACCATTAACTAAACAACTTAGCTTAGCATCGAGTATGAATAGCCAAAAATTGTTGCTTTGACACAACTAATTTTTGTTTTGGTATTCTGCATATATATACTATATATGGGCCTGAGTTTATGACTCGTTCATGCGCAATATTCTTACGTTAATGTTTATGGTCTCTTTCTACCGATGTTCCTGACGTCACTTTATTGAAATTACTGTCGCTATGGTTGAGTAATGACATGCCTAGACATCCATTGAAAAACGAGAGAATGCTAGAGTAGTTCATAAAACGAGTAGTTGAATGAAAAAAAAACAAATGATATAAGGATATGGGTGCGTTTTATGAAAAAGAACGCCACGACTAGTTTCGACCTTTCTCAAGAATCTCATCAGGTAACTCAATAGCTGTATTATCTATTCTAACGATTGACAGATCACAAATAAGATATATACCGTCTGTAACCAATAGTATTATGAAGAGTTCAGAATAGCTGATGAGGGTGAGGGTGAAATATAATAATAAGATATTAGAATTCAGAGGATTGACACAACGCGTTTCGTCCTTTCTCAAGGGACTCGACAGGTATCTTTAGAATTCTATTATTACGTAAATCCAAGCTCTCCAAATAATTGAAGAAGTTTTAGAAAATCGTAATAATTTTTTAATCTATTGCAAGAATGAAGCAATTAGTGATGCGTCAACTTATTGGGATCGAAACGGCTGTTTGGGGAGAATGAACTTCTGGGATTGTGTATTTAACTATTGTGAAAGGGATATATGGTCATGATACTCATTTTCCTAAACGTACAAGAGGGAAGCTATGAATAATGATATAGTTATTGGATATTCATGATAATTTGATATATTTGTGTTAGGAATTTGAAATAATAACACGAAGGTTTGTTTTTCTGCGTAGATTGTGTGGCATATGTCTATATGAGTGGGCTAGAGTTGATGACTCGTTATGAGCGTTGCCTGGATTTTGATATGTTTTAGGAACGGATAGAAATTATAAAACTGTTTTCGGCCGTGCAGTTTACCTTGAGAATTTGTTGCAATTGTAAGATATTCGCCGTTGTATGGTGAACACTGCTATCTGATCATAGTTTAATGTGCGATTTTATGATCTAAAATGGAAGAAATACTTTTAAGTTTTTGGTGATATATGTATTAATTGGAGGCTATTGATGATTAAATTTGGTGTTTTTTTATTTTCAAACAAGATGCATACACTTAATTTTAATATTACAATGAAAAATTGAGTGAATGAAAAGTCTCTGGTTGATTGTATTGTTTGGATGACTCTATTCCTGTAAGAATAGCCCGTGTAGATTTTTTGTGGATTAAAAAATTCTGTAATGTACGATTGGTTTTAGGAATAAATCGAATTTGAATACGGTTTGCAGATGATCCAGGATATTGATAATAGCGTTTCCACCAATTCAAAAATTCACGAGGAAATATCAAATTTGGTCCAGTTGCAAATGTATATCGCAGGTATATAACCTTTGTGTTCCATGGTTTTTGTTTGTAGAACTGGTGGAAATAAGATAGGATCTTTTTTTTATAGTTTTCTTTTCGTTTTCACGCTTTGTTGGTTGCTGAAGTAGTTTTCGATGTAGTTCCTGATAAGCTTATTTGTTGAATCGTTTTATGAGAAAATTAGCTTTATTTACTTGAAAGAATGGTAGAAATTGATTGGTAATCAATTTTGGTGCATAGTTATTCAATAATAATGATACATTAATACATAGCTGTTCTAGATGAAAATCATGGAGATTTGAACAGAGACGTACCGCACGCAATAATGCAGTATATGGGATGTTACGATGAATGGCATGTGGATAATCTGATGTATGTGGTAAATAATATGGATCAGCACTTGGTTTATGATAGATCGAAGTTTTTAATTGCCCATTGGCATTCATAATAGTAATATCGAGAAATTGAACGGTTTCGTGTATAATAGGCTTTATTTTAATATTCAAATCTTTCTGTTCGGCTTTTTCAAGTTCTTTTGTAATTTCATCGAATGATGTATTCATTGTCGTAAAAATATCATCGATGTATCTAAAGTGAAAAATACATAACTTTTATTTATGTTTTAAGTAACTAAAACAAACCGTCTATAGATTTTATGTTTCGATGCTTGGTGTTTTATTAAATCGTGTTTCCATTCTAATATATAAATATTGTCAAAGACTTGTGTAAATGCTGAGCCCATGGCTCCACCACGTTTTTGTTGATAATATTTATTTTTATATACGAAATAATTCGAATCCAAAATTAAGCGAGTCATTTTTAAAATAATACCTATAGTAAATGAACCTATCTTATGGTATTTAGAATGTTTGTCCAAAAATTGAGTGAGGGTGCGGGTGAGTTAATAAGATAATTCCAAGCTACTTACGACGATCGTTTCGACCTTTCTTAAGGGAATCGTCAGGTAAAGTTGAAACTTGTTGGGTGTTGTTTATTGTCATGGTTTAAATGAAGGTCGGGTGAAACGTAATGACTTGGGATATGGAGTTACTTTCTGTAATATTGACTGGATTGTTTCACGGTGTGGCTTTATTGTTTTTGCTTTCTGGATATTGATGTGGGAGAATGGTTGAACTATGTTAGGCCTGTAGAAGAATAAGAAAGCAATTGTGGAAACCATTTAGTATTATTAGGAAATTAAATGAGAAGAAGATGAAGAGTAAAATATTCAGGTGTATTATATCTTTACCGTGTATTTTAGACGTATCCTAACTAGACATGCACTGAACCCGGGCACGGACCGGAAATTTCGGGCTCGGTATTCCCGGGTTCGGTCATTTTCGGTACCTGAACTGCTAGATTCAGTTATTTATTTATTTGGGTCATTGCTAGACAGTCGAAGAAGCCAAGAGCACACCAGGAATACCGAGCCCGAACTTTTCGGAGTACAGACATTCCCGGGTTCGACCATAACCGGCCTCTATCGATGCCTAATGCAGACCAAAATGCATGAATTACTAAATCTAGTGTTTTGGGTACCGGGAATAGTCGAACCCGCGTATGACCGAATCCGGGAAGTTCGGGCTCGGTGCATGTCTAACCTTAGCGTAGCTTTATTCGGATTGTTTATTTTGAATTGCAGCGTTGACATAACAGGTATTATCGTTAAGTCGTATTTGGTTTATTGTTGGAAGAATCTATATAGTTGGCGGCTATGGTGGTGGATAGCGGTTTGATGATCTAAAACAGTACAACCAAAAGCAGTGTGTTTGAAATATGAGGTTATGTCTATAATAAGTGTATGTAAATTTTTTTAATTTCATATATTATTGGTACGAATGTTCGTTTCTATAATCATGAATCGTAGTTACAATAGTTGTTTTTTGAATTTGTGAAAAAAGTGTCTATCAATCTGGAAGCGGTCGTCCATTTGGATATGTAGATTTGTCGATAATCATAGTCTTGCTTTCCATACGGTTAAGGATTTTATTTTTTGGCTTGTTGTATATGAAGAATGTTTCTCGTGTACAGTCTGTATATGGTACTAGTTCCACTTTAACATGTTGTTATGGCGAGCCATTGAATGCATAATATTTGTGCCATCTTTCATAAAACAGTTTCTGGAAAGCGTTAGACGTCGCACTATCGAATTAATAACGTGGAAACATGATGTCTTTGTCCCATACTTTCGTTTGCAATACTGTCGGTGATCGAATCGGGTCTTGTAACATATTTTTAAGTACCTTTTCTCGTCTTGTTGGTTGATACAATAACCGCTGGTGTAATCGATGATATACAGGTTCATCTAATCCTCGCCATACCGACATAGTATCATTGCATTCGGAAAATCGATGAAGTTGTTTCTTTATAAATTTCGGTGGAGAATTATTTAATAACAATGACATATCAATGTGTAGTTGCTCAGAAGTAAAATCATGTACCTTGGAACAAAGACGAGCTGCATTCATTAACGCAGCATATGATATATTACGATGAATATGTCGTGGATGATCCGATGCATATGGTAATATATATGGTTCAGTCGTTGGTTTATGATAAATAGATTTTTTCAATTGTCCATTTTCATTTGTAATTGTGACATCGAGAAAATTTACTGAAGCATTCATTTCATAGTTAATTTTAGTGTTAATATCTTGATTCGTGGCTTTTTCGAGTTCTTTTTGAATTTCAACTGTTATTTAATTAGTTACCATGAGTATATCATCGATATATCTAAAAAGGATTAATATTAATTAATTTATATGATTTTATTCAATAAATATTAAGCAAACATTCCATACATTCCTTTATGTCTTGCTTGATATTTGATGAAATCTTGATCCAAATAATACATATAGATAATAGCTAATACTTGTATACAGGGTTGTGTATAACCTTTTGCTAGGCGGCGGTAGCAATATGATTTCAATTTGGATACCTACTGAATTTTGTACCAAATGAAAGCCCGTCAAAAACTGGATCTAGGACTATAGTTAGCAATTCAATACATAAGGATGGTCGATTCACATTTCAGACGTATAGGTACGCACTANAAAATTAAGTTCCGGTTTTTGAGCATGGGTCTTGGGAAATTATTTTGTGAACTAATGCTTTGTTCTAAAAATGGTTTAAAACCAGTTTCTTATTCAGTTTTCTATGATCTATCAGAAAAACTAAGTTAGAAGATTCCATCTCGTAACATATTTAAAAAAAGAGGAATCTATGAAAAGTGGCCAAATTATCTGTTTTTCACACCTTCCGAAATTTTTCAATTTTTCGACCGGAAAAAGGTTTAAGAAAATCCAAGGCACAAATATTCTTGACCGTCTTGAAATTCTCTATCGAATGGTGTATGAAAATCAAAAAAAAGTTTTTTAACTTTATTTTTGCTTTGCGTGCATCTTACTAATTTCAAGATAGTCTTACCCATCTTGTATCAGCTTCTATTTAGTTGTCGGTTCTTTCTCTCTCTCACTAGCTTTGATTAAAGCACACTTCTTTTTTTCGGTCTTTTCGTCGCTATTGTTGCTGGTATTCTCTTAGCTATTCAAGATTTTTTTTTTGTCTTCCCATGTTTCTTTTGAACTTATATTAATACATAAAATGTTGGAGAACAGAACACGGTTCACTATTGCTTAAGAAGAGCTTCAAGAATTCTAGCAAAAAAAATATTTTACTGGAAAAAATTCTGAAAAACCCATTTCTCTTTAGCTTTGCGAAACTCTCTCTCTTCACTCTTCTTCTTGCTAAGCTGAACCAAACGACAGTAATGTATTTCTAACTCATATATAACTTATCTGTTGTTATCTCCTTTTTTTGTATTTTACAGAACTTTTGCTTTTTTTTCTTCTGCTGCTATGAGTGACAAAGACAAAAACATGTAATTTCACAAGCAGATGAAATTCTTGTATCTTCTTCAATATAAAAGTATTCTTCCTAGCTAGAATCAATCATTCTTCATTGAACAATTCTTATGTTGATTTAAGTATGACTCAAAACAAACGACAACGACATACTTTGACAGATGATTGTGATGATATGAAGAAGAAAAAATTACAATATACTTCTCTTTCCTCTTCAATTAAAAGAAATATATACAGGTTAGTAAGACATATATAAAAATATTGTTTATATTATCTTTCATTTCTTTAAAGAAATTCGATCAGTCAATTTGAAAATCTTTCAAATGAAGTTATTTATGAGATTTTCGAATTTATCGATGCTTGTCAACTCTACGAAAGCTTTTTTGATCTTAATATACGATTTCGAAATTTTTGTATACATTCAAATCTTTCAATTCAAATCAATGCTCAATCTATATCTAAATCGACTTTTCAATGTATTCATATTAATTTCATTCTGCCTAATAAACATCGAATTCAATCACTTGATTTATCAAATCCATTCATTATTGATTTTTTTTCTTCATCAACAGAAGACATTTCAAAATATTCTCAACTTCAAATACTTATTCTTGATAAGATGGAGTCAGGATATCTCGAAAATCTTCTTAGAAGTTTAGCATCTTTATCTAATCTATCTTCATTAATTATTTCTATTGGTCTTAGTTCAAATAAAAATATTCTCTGAAATTTGATATTCCAGTTACCGGTGCTAAAATATTGCAAAATAACTTCCGAAGAAAATCTTTATTTAGGATATTTGTCAATGTCTACCAGTACAGTAAGTTGTATTAAACATCTGGTTATTAATAGTAAATTAGATTACAATGACATTGATGCTATTTTATCGTATGCTCCTCAACTTCGTCATTTATCAATGAATTGTCTGTATCCATATTGCGTAGGCGAAACACGTGTATCTCTCTTTACTTTAAATAATTTAACATATGTATCTCTCACATTAGATCATTTACTGTTTGATCAATTTGAAACATTGTTTAAAATCTATCTTAGCCGAGTAAAAGTATTGCACATTTCATCAAACTGTGATTCGACATATTTAAATGCCGAACGATGGAAAAAATTGATTTTATCTCATTTGTCATATTTACAAATCCTTGACTTGCAACATATATACGACATAGTTTATCGTTATAACCAGGAAATTATGTATGAGGATATATTTCAAAAATTTGCTTCTCCATTTTGGATTGAATGACAGTGGTTCTTTGCATATGATACTAATTTTGGATCGCCTCCACGTAGAATCTTCTATTCAGTTCAACCATATAGGTAAAAATAAATGAATTTTATTGAATATTAGATGTCAATTCTATTTTGATTTATTAAGAAGAAAATACTTCACAGTAACCGGTGAACCCAATTCTGATGAGTATCCATCTGAAGACAAAACTATTTTTGATTCAGTTCATCATGTTATTATCCAAGATGAAAGGATGATAGGCAATTGTTCAAAATATTTTTCAAATGCCAATGAACTCACCATTTCCGATCAACGTACAGATCGTGCTAAACGATCTGCAATTATTAGTATAGATCACATTCTTCCCTTGATACAACTTACTAAACTAACGATTGATTATAGTCATCGTCCTTTTAGTAAAGTGATCGATTTGTTATATTCGACACATAATGTTCATACATTAGTGGTCAAATGTGTATCACTCGTTGCAACGGATTATTCTCCATTACAACAAAGTGAAAAATTTCGATTGGTATCAAACCATAATAAAATAAAAAATGTCACTATTTTGTTTGATTATTCATTACGCAATATTCAACTATTGATGAATCTCTGTTCTAAAGTACGACAAATTTCTTTTGGCACTTCTGAGAGTTATCTTGAATCAACTATGCAATTTTTAATGTCAGCAACTAAGAGAACTAATTGTTATTTATCTTCAATATGTATTTTTGGTGTGAATACAACTATTAATGAAAAACTGAAAACTCTAATTGAATCCGAAAAACTTATTAATGATTATTCAATAAAAGCCGGCGGCCAGACATTTGATCTTTGGTGGTGACATTCATTATTAATGAAGTCTTGTTGTTTGACTGTTATTCTGTTTCAAACAAAATAAACTATAAATAGTTTTATATTCTTGAGCACAAAGACGAATAGCAAAAAGATAAACATGAATTATGTAGATTAATGGACGTATGGATAATGCTAATGGAAAAGATAGCATATTCTATCGGAATACAAGCTGAAGTTTTCTCTCTTGCAATAATTTCGATAACAGTTTCTCATGTTGCAAATATTGAAGAAATAGATTGTTTCATATATGTACACATATTGAGAACACTTTTCTCGTTCGTTCTTTCTCTTTTTTTGAAAATGACATAAACAGAGAAAGAAAGAAAAGAAAAAATATTCTGTTATACTCTTTCTTTCAAAAAAATCTCCTTGTTCTCCTTCCTATATGCTATATATTCTTTTGTAACATTTTATCTACGCAGTATAAATAGCGAAATTATTTCCTCGTTCAATCCATCGTTTTTTCACATAAGAGTAGATGTATACAAGCTCATAGATCATTACAATGTGGGTGGGGTGTGGATGTGTGCGGGTGAAGAGAAGACCAACACCCACACCCGTCTGTCGAATAAATGTGAAAATAATCTTGAAACCTCATAAATTTTAGCGTTAGTAAATTACAAAAACCAAAGACTTCTAGTTTATTTTATCCTGTAATATATTTTTTCTTTCTGTCAACAGAAAAACAAATGATAAAGCATTCGCACAATCATTGTTTTAGCAAATGATGTCTTTATGGCCTTAAAACTGATAATACTTAAATTTGACTATAAAACAACTTTTATTACAATGACTATATTGATAATGACTAAGCAAATTTGAAAGTATTGCAAAAGCAATAAAGCATTTGAGTTAAACGTGACCTTTCTAGTATTGATTCAAAGATGGTAATTCGATTTCAATAGGGAACACAAGCTATAGAAGAATTTCAGGTACTTTGAAAAGAAGCAGGATACGCCGATAGTTAGAGCTGCATGTGTGAAGGGAGCTGTTTATTTTCAACATGTACACACCGACACCGAAAGACTTTGACTGTTAGTAATGAGAATATTCACACCCTAAATACTTCGCTCCGAAAAACTCACACATCTAGATTCACATCTATGATAACCGCAACTCATTCTTGATGTTAAGATAAGTCACAAAACTCGAGTAGATTTCGTATGAAGAGATATTGTAAAATGTCATACTGATAAGTATAGATATATGCATCTCTCTTGGATTCTTAATATTTTACCTTTACGATAACGCACTGTAAGCTGTAATGATACAGCAGTTCTTATTGTGCAAACTTATCTCATCAATACCAGACCTCTTTCTTTTGATTTTCAACTCTTTTAAAATTATGTTTAGAAAGACGTGGTCAACTAAATCTCAAGGTTACCCTTCCTCGAAACAACTAGATATTTTGACGATCCATTTGATACTTCTTCTTACGAATCTTCTATATGTTCTTACGATGGGTAGTACAAGAAAATATTTTCCTTCTCAATGGTATGATAGTGCCTAGAAAATTATCCCGAGTTGCATCATCTGTTTTATTTAAGAGATACGTATGTAAGTTTTTCTTTTTTTTTTGTAAAAAGTTCGCGGAGCTCAAAAGGTATTTATGCTGTTCCTGAAGATCTCTCATGAAAATATCTTGCTATTTCAGTAATGTCATTGTGTTAATGAGTTCTATCTTGAAGATGGTTCGATGAAAACGGCAGTTGTGATCATGTGTGATCTGACATACCATATGTTGTTTTTCTTACATGGGTCTAAACAATTTTTATCAGTATTTTCTTTTAAGCTGATTATAATTTCAAAAAAAGTAAAACACGAAATTTTAAAACATTTTATTGGTCAAAGATATGCATTGTCACTGATTACAAAAAGCTTCGTTTGAGACTATCAAAAAAATTTTCATTATATACAGGGCTTTAAAAAAAATTTAAAATCATAGATCCTTGTATTCTGAATCGAATTTAATTTATTAATGTAACATTCTTTTCTTATTTAGTAAATGTTGTTTTTTGGTTATCGTAGATAATTATCTACCACTCAATAAACTCTGCATTAATCTGTCTAGTGCGGATACATTTTAAAGTGCCTTTCGTCATTTGAAGTTTAAACTGCTGTGAGGCAATATTTAATCAGCTTTCGAATCGTGATTTTTGTTTCAAGTGACTTCACATGCCGCTAGAGGTTATTGTTGCGGATATACCACGTTCTGGCACATTATCCATGCGTGAGGCTCTCATTCGATTGGGATTCAATAAGACAATGCATATGAAAGTACTCATGGAGAATCCTCTACTTATGTCGATTTGGACAGAAATCTACGAAAAACATTTGGAAAAAACTTGGACTAGTGATGATTGGCGACACATGTTTGATCAACACTTTCCAGACTATGTCGCAATCACGGATGTACCATGTTGTGATTTTGCTGTTGAATTAGCTCAGGCTTATCCTCAAGCTAAAGTATGTTTTCCGTATTATTTATTCTTTCTAGCTCTTTTTCGGTACGTAGATCATTCTTCTGCATCGAGATCCTGATAAATGGCTGACGTCCTATCAACATCTTATGGCTCAATTTAAGGCTTCCAAATTCGAGCTTTTTATTATTTCATTTCTAAAAAGTATTCATGCACATTTTGTGTTCGAGAAGTTTAGAAATGCCTGGTGGCGAGATATTTATAATTATCCTGACGTCGACAAAGAGCTTATGCCATTCTACGTGAACAAAATTAAAACAGGCATTGATTCTGAGAGAATTTTAGAGTTTAAGGTACAAGATAGTTGGGCGCCACTCTGCAAATTTTTGAACAAAGAAATTCCAGAAGAAAGTTTTCCTCATATGAACGATGCTCAAGCATTAATTGAATGAAAAAATCAGAGGAAATAGGAAGCTTTGGAACCTTTTTTTAAATGGTTCAAACAAATGACTATAGCCGCCATTATATCGATCATGATTGCTTTGGTTTTTTCAAGAAATCCTATTTTCTCGATTGGCTCCAACAGCATGAAGTTTTACGACAGTAAAAGATCAATACGATTGTTTTCAAACCTATGAAAGAAAATGTGGAAAGAGATTCGCTCTGCGTGCTTACTTTTATTTTAATTTAATTATTTTATATTTTTCTTCTATGTCTGTTTTATTTCTCACTTTATCGGATTAAAAAGCAAAACAAAATGTTCTATTGATTGGCATCGCCAGTAAAATCTATTCGTTGCATTAAATAGCAAAGTCTAATATATTACTTAGATTAGGTAGAAACTACAAAGTTTAGCAATGATTTATTAGCGTTGATATTATTTACACACCTTTTCCACTTCTTGTAAAACTTATGATGTATACTTTGGCTTCTAATCCATACACTGGTTGTTTGGAGGAGATAGGGCAGTGGTTGGTAGGGAAGAAGGATTATCAGAAACCATAAATCTAGTAATACATTAGACTTTTTTTTATTGAACTCTATCTTTGTTGAAAATACTACAANTAATACATTAAATTAAACGACAGAACCTTTTTTAATTCAGAAATTTAATTGATTTAAAAGATATTTCATTAAAAAATTCGATCAAACATTTCTTTTTTAGCATTCTTTCGGCGGAATAGATACTACTGTATTAAATTAGATATAGATTGCTATAATTTAGATATGGATTGCTATATTTTTAGATATTCCATAAAATGCATGCCATAAAAAACCTACACCCAGTTGGATGTAGTTTCAAATCGATTCGTTCGAAATCGGATCACAATATTCTTCCATCATTATCAACATCCAAAAAAGGCACTGAATCTCCTTTCATTATTTCTACAACGTTCTGTTGTTTGATAACAAGCAGAAATGACTTATTGGAATTGATTAATTCGACATAGATAGTACCTTTGAAAATAAAATGTAATCAGAAAAGATAAGATCATTGAAAAAAGTGATGTACAAGGGAAATATATTATCGATTTGTCTCAACTTTAATCGAAAGTAAAAATGTCGATAACTCAAACGGAGACCGCTAAATGTTTTCTAATTCATAAAATCAAAAAAGCAAGCAGCTAAATTCAAATCAAATGCTTATTATTGAAAACATAACTTTTCTTTTGCTCCGATTAAAGACAAATCGTTAAGAAGATTAGATACAATAACGAGATATTTTATTATATCGACTATAAGATGTGCTTATTCGACGTTGTAATGCTGTGGTTCGTTTGTTTTTTTGGTTGCATAAAATTAGTCAAATTTCATATATTTGAGTGATTTCGATAAATACAAGAATTTATTCTTTGATGATAACCTACAATTATGCTGTGCCTTCTCTTCAGCCATATATCTACACTCGTGGCCCCATTTGACCAGATTGCCCATAGAAAAAAATTTTGAGCCCGATCTGACATACCGTATGAGAGAAAAATTTTGTCTTTTTGTTCAAAAATTAATTTTGAGAAAAACGCAAAACAAATTTTCTTCTATGCATCAGAACTTTTTTCTCCAACTAAATTGATTCAAAAACTACTCGTGTTCAGCGGTGTTAGAGATCTATGACCTATATTCTGAGCACCTTCGGAATGAGAAATTATCGTTTTCATTAGGAGAGCTTTATATACAAATAATAATCACAGCGAGAGTTTTTCTGCTAGGAATTTTAAGAGTTGGGTTTAATAATAGCACTAACTAACAAGGATGAATCTTCATTTTTAAGGCTTTTGACAGAGGGCAGTTCAAAGCTATATGACCGATGAAAACCGAAAAATCGGAAAAAAATTGATTTTATAACATACAGAAAAGGAACGAGAGTTCTCTTGAGTATATATCTTATTCATAGCTAAAAAAATAAATATACATAACAAACATTGACAAGACATGTCTGTTCTCTACAAAACTCGAACATTGACTGTATAACATCATGTGAGAATCACCTTTATCTTTCAATATGACTTATTTAGATCCAACTCGTGATGGTAAATAATGTCATCGGTTAACTCATCATGTTTTAAATTTTCAAAGTATCATTATAAGTTTATTCTCTAGGTACACACATAGAACTAAGTAAAGAATAAGTAAATAAACAAAAAAAGCTAACAAATAAAGATCGATAGAGAGAAAAAAAAGATTTCAATCAACAAACACACACGTCACCGGACGCGTTGTCATTCTTTTTTTCTTTTCTCATTTTTTGAATACAAGAAATAAAACAGAAAAAAGAAAACGACTAGTGAGAAGTGCAATAACAACAACAGCAACAAATTAATACGACAGTATTTTCAACTGTTCCTATCACAAGAAGCCAATGAACATTTCTCATATATGTACAAACTACCGGAATAAGAAGAAAGAAACAGAAACAAAAACAAAAACAAAAAGAAAGAACGAAAACAATGAGATCAAGCTTTGTTTGTCACAAAAAATGCATATCTATATGGACGGGTTAAATCAAACGAAAAAAAATGCTTTCGAGATTATCATAAGTATAGACAACAAGACAAATAAAAAAAAATTATTTGTTACATTCATTCTCTTTATTATTATCATTTGATGATATTACGTTTTTCAATAAAATTTTTCGTTGTTCATCAGATTCAAGTGTAGTTTTTGATTCATCTTCGTTATTTGTTGAAGGATAAAATAGATTATATGTTGAATGTTGATCACTCTAAGAATTACAAAAATGAGAAATGAAAATTTCAATTTTTAGAATTTAATAAATACTTGAATGGTTGATTGAAATTCTGTATTTAATTGTTCATCTTGATGACGAGCTATTAATGGAATTTTATTTGTCGTAGAATTTGTTGACCAATATAACCAATACCAAAGAACAGTTCGAATTTTTCGTGTTGTTATACGTAATATACGTAAAGCTTCAGCTAATTGTAAAACATCTACAAAATTAATTGTTTATTGAAAGTTAAAAACCAAAAATAAATAATTATTTTTTTAACCTTTTTCATCAGGTAAACGTGGTTCACCTGAACGACATTTTTCAGCTGCATTATCAATTTCTTGTCGACGACGTTCTTGTACATTATTAATAGTATTAAACCATTCATCAAGTGTTTGTCGTGTTGCTTCAATATCTTGCATATGTAAAATTTCTTTAACACGTTCATGTAAACGAAGTATCTTTTAAATTAAATCAACTTTTGTTTTTGAAATCACTTAAAACAAAATTGCAAAAGAAAACATACTCGAGTATATTCATAATGATATTCAGCAATTAATCGATCAACACGTGATGGATTATTTGATAATGTTGAAAAATTTGAATTTGTTATATCATTTATTAATGACGATGATGGAGATTTATGCAATGTTTGAATTCCAATTTTTGATTCCGTCTAAAAACAAATATCATTAAAGTAATTCTCTAATGAAGAAGCATCTTATCGACTGTATGTTATTTAAAAAATGCGATGTGATATTCCGATCGTTAGCGACAAACTAACAGAGAACATCTTCTTTGTAAACTCTATGCCCTAGTCACTTTTGGATGAATTTGTTTTGTTTTCGTTGTATTCGGATCATTAGTCAATCTGCCATGTATTACTAGACATAATATCAATCAGGATACATTTTGTTTTTACAGACATTCAAGCTTCAAATGTTAAGGTGTGTATAAATCCTTTTTTAACATTACTTTTCTTTCATATCATGAAATAATAATGGAATAATTTGTCTTATGTAGTAAATTACATAATCTTGTGATATTGACCCCCTTGTTTTGAAAATCTATCCGTGTTGTGTTAGTTTTTTTTAATTTAAAGACACTGATATAGGTGTGCTCATATAAATAAATATATAGATATCAATTTTCTATTTGCTCGGAAGCATTAAAACATGTATGACGCAGCCTATTTACTAGTTATTCATCGATATGATTGTCTTTTCTCATTGATTGGATGAATAATTTAGAAATTATAGATCACTTATCATAGACTCTTTTGTTCTGTTGTAGGCCGTGTATGCTTTTTTTTTATTCATCTGTGCTGTGTTGTGTTGATTATAGAACTGTTATGATTAATTTGTGGACATTTGATGAAGAAACGAAAACAAATATCAAATAACTATTTGCAATCAATATAAAAAATTCTTCGCGGCTTTATAGCTTAATCATTGAAACTTAAGGATGAAGTCTTCGTAAAAAAGAAACAAAGGTATTCTTGTGGATACTTTATCTAGTGTTATATGGTAATGATTAAAATAGTTAAAATAGGAATTTGATGAAAAACATGCGTTTCAGAAAGGAATTGATAGTTACGAAATCGAATTTATCCATGACTAAGGTCCATAAAGATTCTGATATTTGGAATCAATGCAATGAACTGCGTACAGTCATGTATGGATCTAAGAACACACGATATTCTATTTGAAAAACTTTCCTTATAAGAGTTAAAAAAGTTTCTTAGTAAATCAGAGATGGAATCAGCACCGATCGATCTAGTTAATTTACACTGCTGCTTAGCCAGTATTAATTTTGCTCGTAACCGTATAATCAGTTACGCTTCATTTTTTATTCCGTTTTTCTTCTTATTATAAATTGTTCAAGATCTTGTAACAGGTAAGGTAAAGGGTGTTCATCTAAGCATACACCGAACATTCGTGGTCAGTCTTGACTTCGATCATTTTCACTAATAATGTTTAGAAATACTCGAATCTGAACCTTAGGGTGCTTCCATAATTGTTCATATACCTTAAGCCACTGCCTGAATTGAGTTTTCGAAACTCGAACGCAAACTGTTCGGCCTCGGTACATGTCAATGTACATCAGTATAAAAATATTCTCGACTACTTACTTCTGAATAACTATCTCGAATATAATTCAATTGTTCATAACATTTTTCAATAGCAATATCTAAGAGAATTACAGTACGATAAACGATTTTAAAGAAATGTATTAACTTACGTAAAGTATTGGCAACTCCTGTTCGTCTAAAATATATTTAAAAAAAGTTATATTGAATGAATAGAAGGAAAAAAACAAGCAAGTGAATTAAAGCACTTGTGTACAAAATAGGAAAAAAAGACTATTAGATATTATTTTTTGTATATAAATATATGTCAAAGATAAAAAAGACAAACAGGGAGAAACAAATCAAGTACCTGTTAGATCGAAAGTAGCTAAATAAAGATATCACACTGGCTTAACTAATAAAACTAATGTAAAAATTCTTACCTAATATCTTGACATGTTGTTACAGGTGATGTTAAATTAGGATCATTTATTGTTGATGTTCCATTAGCACCAGAAAAATTCATTGATAATGTATCACCTAAATTAAAAGAAGAAATAGTTTTTTTTTCTGAATTAAATAAAAATAAAAAAACATACGAGGTGAAATAGGTAACATTGATGAATGTTGTCGATCAGTATTTTGAAAAGATGAATAATTTTGTTGTAATATTGTATCTTGTGATCGTTGTTTAAAACTATTAACAAGACGAGGATTTAATGTTGCTATTGATGATGATGAACTTGACGATGATGATGATAATGGTTGATGTTGTACTTGATTAAGATTATTATTTATTGATGAATAAGGACGTCGATTATCTAATGTACGTAATGATGATGAAATTCGTCGATCATTTGTTGTTGTTAAACTTGAACTACATTGTAAACCAATCATCTGACGAAATTGTTGTAATGACATATTTGTTATAAGAGAATTGATGCCAGTATGATCACCTTTACGAATAAGAACTGGAATATCTTTTGGAGGATTTGGACGGATTGAACATGAATCTAATAAAATTAAGATTTTAATTACAGAGAAAATCTATTTTTTAGATTTTACCTGGAATATTACGTGGATGACCACTTTCAGATATAGTTGAAGAAGCAAATTTTGTTTGGCGACGTGGAAAACTAAATGGAGTTATAATTATTAAGTTTTGAATTTCAAAATTCATTGGATATTAGTAAAATACACTCGGAATGTCGTTTTACTTGATATTTTAAGTTTACTAGACTGCACTGTGAGCTAGAAACTCCAAGAGTATTGACGTAGTTAAAATACAATAACTTTCACTCCTTTCAATATATCGATTCAAGTTTAGCATTTTGAAATACTGAAACTTCATAGTTTTGAAATTTCTTTTTCTATGGTCTACATCATTAGTGTTCATATCGAAATATTCATTCAAAGTCATGACCAAGACGAAACAAATCTCAACGATTGTTTTTCCTTTTCAATTTGTTGCCTGTATCGACTGTCATAATTTTCTTATTCTAGCATCTCAATCTCATATTTTTTGTGTTACCGTTTCGATTGGTTAATCTCATATTTTTATTTTTATACAAATCACATAAATTCTACTTCTTTCTTCAGAAAACAAAATTACGAAATCTTTCACTTCAATTATCTATCTACTCATTGGTTTTTCTCTATACTGTTTTGTTAAAATTAAAGTTGAAAGGAAAATCTGAAAGATTCCTTAAGAATATGACATTTTATCTAAATAACCAATAGTTATGGCAAGCGAGGATTTTTAAAAAAATTAAACGCGCTTAAAGCGCACAGCACTTCATAAATTAGTGTAAGTTATTGTTTGAGTTTCTACAAAAAGTCTTTACATGACAAAAAGCGAAAAACAGAATCTATTTCTATTGAAGAATCAGACTAACAATAAGACTGTCATAAATCTTATTACCTACTGTTACTATAAAAAGCTTTGAATTCATATTTCATCATTCCAAAATCTTTATTTTTCTCATGAAAAGAAGAAAAGTTCATCCCATTCAGAGCTCTGCTAACTACATAAGATCAAAAAAAATCATAGAACTCAGTCTTTTAATTTACTCAACAATAAAAAACAAGTTGTCAGTACAATTCCTGTAGGATTAAAATATGAAACATGATGTAGCTGCTATTGCTAATCATAAGGAAATTACTTGTATCTATCTATTCTATAATACATTTTGTCGCCATCCTTTTACTTATTCCTCTCTAAATATGCAATTAGCAAGTAGTTCATATATTAGAAAGAAACTTTACTAATATATGGTCTGTGAAAAGGTTCAAATTTCTACCGTGAATACTTCAACACTCTTTTTAGATCGCGTTTCATCAAATAATAGATAACACTAAATAAAGCAATCAGTATGCACGCTATTTAATCCACTTTTAATTATTAATAAAAACAAATAACATTGAACAGGCTTATAATACGAAGCAAATCTAATTCTTTTGAAATCTACCAATTGAAGATTAAATAACTAAAAATAATCCAGAAATAAATTCCTAAGAACCAAAAATATCTCTCCATGAAATGAATAGTTTGATATTTTTCAAAGCTATTCATAATGCAAATATAAAACTTTTATTTGGCTTCTCTTTTCGTTCGATAATCATTTTTATGTTATTTTCGCTATGATTTTAAAAAATATTCTGAAAAATATTAACGAAATTCTTTTTCTTTTTTTTAAATTACTTTTTGACTTGTTGCATATATTGTATATGTTGATCTGATTGTTCACCATTCGACCATATTGTTGGCATCATCATCGATGTTGATGGATATTGAGAAAATGTTGATATTATACCATTTTGATGATATTCTGAATTTTCATCAATTATATTTGATACCATATCATTAAGATTTGCCGATCTGAATAAAAAAAACTTGTTTTCTTTTTACATTCAACCAAATGATTTTTCGTTTTTATACCTCATTTCTGCCGGAAAATGAACACTACTATTAAGTAATTTATCACCATTACCAGTTAATGATGTATTAAAATGATCCATTGGTGGTCCTGGTGCACTTTCATCTAAATTCCATGCAGAATTATTACGTAAATAAGCTCGAAGTGTTCGATCATCCATCTAAGATTTCAATGAAATATATAGAAAAAACAAAAAAAAATAATTTTACAATTGTTGAAGATGTCTGCAAAGGTGATAACATAGTTCAATCTAGAAAATAAGAAAAAAAAAGATTGAAATGCATAAAAAAAATTGTTTTGTATTTTTTACAATTGAAGAAAACCTTGATATATTCTGTCAAGAATGACAACATAGAAAAACATTTATTTTCCTGTTTCCTTTCTTATTCGAACATTAAATAATCAGACAGAGAGAGAAAAAAAAAAACTTTGTGCAAGTATCCACAACAAACAAAAAACATTGAAAAGAAGAACAGCTGATTTTATTAGAAAAGAAAAGAATATATAGCATCCAATGAATATTCACTAATGAGTTGTTATTTAAATTTAATTTTAAAAAATTCAATTTAATTTTATTTTTAAGATTAAAGTTTAATATTAAAGTTTTTTTTTAAAGTTTATTTTAAGTGACATCTATTGGCAATGATTTTACAAATTTTAACTGTTACACATCTAGTTAGTTAATGTTCTATATTTCAATATGAATATTCATGTCGCACTATTGTCGGTATATCATGATGCTCATAAGAACTGAAAGCATGTTGACAGTAGATTGCCGATCAGAGAATAATCGATCGTCATAGTATCGAAATTTTTAGGTTACTTTTTCAATGAAACGTTCTAAAAGTTTTTTCAACATGAATAATTATGTTGTAATACTCGAATTGAGATGAATCACTAGAAGATCTATGGACTGTTTAAGAAAAATAATTACATAAGAATTAGAAAACAGATCGAACTTTTCAATACGTTAGAAATGATGAGGAAAATGTTATATGATTTGCGATCTCATATCAGTTATAAAAATGAATTTCAAGAAAAAAGCCGAAATTAATTCATATCAATGATCTTCAATATAGATTCTATGTAAATGAGAAAACCTCAATTTTATGAGATTTTAAAAACTACATCTGATATTAGATGTATAGTTACTTGTAACTAAAATTTCTATTTTGAATAGACGTCATGTTATGATGTTTATTTTTAAGGGGAGTATTACCTTTTACTTGAATTTCTGCATCTTTTTCAATTAATTTATTCTCCATTGTGTGTAAATAATTCATTCGTCAAACACTCTTATCTAAAATAGCGTTATAGATTTTCTTGTTAAAACAAGTATTCTTTAACTATCTTATTCGCAATATAGTATGGATTATTCCTACGTTATATAACATTTTTCGTATTGTCCTACAGAAATTGAAATAAAAGTAACATTCTATGAATATTGCGTTTGATTATAAACAATAATGGTAGAAATGTAGCATATTTTTTGTATTAATTCATCGATACAATCAATAAAAAAATGTCCTTAGTGAATTCTCCAAAAATAATATTTTTTCATTTGAATGTTGTTACTTAGTCTTCATTGGTAATGTAGTTATATGTATTCGACAAATGTGTTAGTTTGGACATGATGAAAAGAATATCTTGATAATCATATAACGTGGTTCTATGGTGTAGCGGTTAGCACTTTGGACTTTGAATCCAGCGACCCCAGTTCAAATCTGGGTAGAACCTGTCTTTTTTTTGTTTTGCTATACATTTTTTTCTCTCGCTTATCTGTTCTCGCTATCAATGAGAGGAAAGAAAAAAAAAAAGTAATAATGATGAAGCAAAAGAGAGAGCTGACGTCAATACTTGTGCGTGGTTTATTCTATAAACAAGCAAACAGCAGTAATATACGTGTTGCAGTTTTTCTTCTATGCTTACGAAGAAATCACGGGACACGATTCAAAGCTGTCGGGTACATACTTCGCCACGTATAAGCAAGCTTGCAGAATATAAAAGGCAAAGAGACAACAAATATATGTTCTTATTTGTTCGATATAAAAAAAAATTGTACTGAAGTGTCGTTATACGACCTTGATTTTTCAATAAAATTTAATTTTCTTGCTTGTTTTTTCTTACTTGAAACTTTCTTCATATCAACATCGAAAAAAGAATAGTTCGTATGAAAAAATTTCAGATTTTTTGCATGCAACATCACTAACATTGGAATCTTTTTTGCCACATAAGGTCTTGTAAGACATGCAAAAATTTGAAGCTTGGTGGTGCTACGTTTGAGCATTATGAAATTTTCGACAAGGTTAATCTGATTAAGGTGTCGCTTGAGGCCAAGTTTCAGGTTAAAATTTACAAATATAATTTAAAAAAGAAGGACTTTGCAGAAAATTTTCAGTGCAACTCTCAGACAAATCACAATATGACACCATATTTTCTTAGACTTTTTCTGATCAACAGCTTCCCTCCTATTTATGAAAAACATCATAAAGTTAAAAGTTTTGAATCATTTCAATTGGTTCCCTTGTGTAATGTGAGAATTTCGAACGTCATCAATGTTTATTTACAATTCAATTTCTTTTTTAGATATTTATTTAATCAAAATGGATAGCCGTTTCATATGAAACGGGTTTTTTCGTTTAAGGTAACGAACAGTATTTCGTAACCAAATAGAAAAACCGAATCATGTGGCGTCTAGCCAGTTATATCTATCGTGCTTTTCGAAGCGTAGCTACTCATCGTTGTTCACAAGATATAATTGTTCCAGTAACAACTGTTCATACGAATGATGATGAATCAAATCGCAAAGAGTAAAAATATATTATCAATATAATACTTTTAATAAAATTTTATTTTTTAGAAAACAAGAAGATTTAACTAACAACAAACTCGATATTGATCGTATTATTAAAAATAATCGATTTTCATTTCGAAATTTTGAGAAATTACAAGAATATTTATTTAAATCTTCACTTCAACAGGTTTGAAATTAAAATTAAATAACTAACTATCTGTTAGTTTTTAAAAATCTTAGTTAATACTTAAACTACATGTTATCAAAACTATTGAACCTCCTACAACCGAACATGTCGTCAAAGAAGTTCAAACATTGCCAACTTCTTCGACTGAACAGGAACAAACTGTTGTTTCATTGCTTGAAGCAGATGAAAATTATATGAAGACTCTACAAAATCTATATGAATTAAATAAAGAAACAATATCGTTTATAAATAATCTATCAGCTATTGAGGCATTGGAAGCGGGAGATGTAAAGTTGGGTATTGAAACTCTTCAAATGAGTGCAAAAGATGGTACAAATCCAGCAGCATTATACAATTTAGGTATTTGTTATGAAAGCGGTGTTGGTGTTGAAAAAGATCGTGCTAAAGTATATAAATGATTTCCTATTTAAATTTTAAATAAAATTATTATTTGAATTAATTTAGGCATGTGATTATTATCGTCAAGCATCTATGTTAGGTCATAGTGATGCGTTCTTTAATTTAACATTTCTTTCAAATCATATTGACATTAATGATGATGATGATGAAAGCTCAGAACAAACTGTTATTGATCAATCTCATGTATTTCCTTTTTCGTTTACAAAACAATATAATGAAGAACAATCACAAGCATGGAGTGATTATCAATTAAGTTTCACGAAAACTCTTAGTTGCTTAGCGTAGACATGTAAAACTATTTTTCTATAATTTTTTTGTTAGTTTTATTATTTATGCCTTCCCTTCTGTACGGTGATTTTGACAAAAAAGCCGTATTTCTTTCTCCTTTTTCTTAAATTTGTTACTGTATTTTGAAAATTTTTAAACGATTAAGTTACTTGTGATCTAAAACTCTATGTATAAACTTGTAATATGTGCTATTCAATGTAAATATTTTTTTTATGTAAATTAGTTTAAAATATTGAGCGATATGTAGTATGTATAGAAAATTTTGACTATAATAAATACAAAAAAAAATTGATAAGATGATTCTAATAGATCAACTGAAAGATACTTTCAAAGAGAATGTCTTTACTACTCGGATGAGATTATGAATAAAGTGATCGGTGATAATCATGGAACTTGATAATATAAAAAGAATGGAACAACGTCAGACGACATATAAATAAGAGAATGTGGTTTGTTCCAAAATTAGGTTGGATCGTATGTCAATATAACTGATGCATCAGTTTATTGCAAAGAATCTTTTGTTGATCTGTAAGAAAAGAAAATATTCATAGGCGGCGAAACATTTTGAACCTATGCTAAATTCAACAATGTTTATAAGATTTCTATTGAAAAACTAAGAATACGGAAGGAGTATACGCCAGTTTATGCCATTCGGATGAACCACAACAGTTAATACTTTTCTAACTCTAACTCATATTGTGCACTATATACAGTCGGTACGGTTCACAAAAAAATTTGCAATGTACGTAAAGCAAGCCGTGCACTTAAACAAACACAACAACATTTATCTCTATTTAATTTCGACTCTCGAAAGTAGGATTTTCGATCGTCTTTACTGAAAAACAGAAGAATGACAAGGCAGCAGTATCCTCAAGAGTAAAATGAATTACATTGTGAATTCGTTCACTTTGTTGAAACTATTTCTTAGGCCTGCAAGCTGAGCCACTGAAAGAGGAGTAAACTTTCGACAGTCTGTAGTTTATCGAACTCTAGCTTCCTGTAGAGTTTATCTTCACTTGTAATGTAGAAGTGTTTGTTCAAGTCATTAGCAATGTAGAGTCTAATGTTTAGTGCTACCAAAGACAATATTTTGTTAAGAACGTTGTCTAAGTCGTTTCACTACAAATGTGAATATGGGCGTGGATGTTATTATTATTGTTTTGTTATCAAATTTCAAGCAACCAAACTACACCAAATTCTTATTATATTTAAAAAAAAAAGTAAGCAAGCATACATTTGTTTTTAAGTTAAAGATGCACGATATGGGCGCATTCGAAAGCTGCTTTGAGACAATATTCTTTAATTAGAAGCTGGTAATTGATACTGACAAGTATTTCAGACCAAGTTCATATAGAGAAGGAAGAAGATTTTTCTTGAAAACAAAGTCAATTACTTTCACTACACTTTTTCTATAGAACAGCATCAAATTATCAAAATTTTTAGTTTATCATCAAAGGAAGGATGTAGGTATAGGTATGGATATTCTTTTCACCGGCATCCATGTTCAAAACTTCAGTCTTCTACGTCAAGCAAAAGTGTATGAAAAATGTCGTTGACAATTTATCTTGAGTTATTATGTGACAAGAGTATAGACATACAGATAGAGTGAAACAAATTTCTAGCACTATATATCAGTTTTCCCATATAAATCATTCGAATACAGAAATATCACGAGAAACAATAATACTCAAATTGAATCGATAGTGTACCGCCTATAAATCTGATGACAATTGTCCAATGTTACCCGAGAAGGAAATTCCAAACACATATTCGAAAAAAGTCTGGTTCTAACTAATTACTTCTGACTCTAATCACTTGTGTCTAGATAGTCAAAAAATGCGTAAATATTTCGCGCTAAGACTTTTATGCCATAGATTACCTATTGAAAAACTCTATTCAATTGGTGCATATCTTTAATTGAAACTTAGAATTTGCTAACAAAGATAATTCATATTTTCAAATAAAACATATTAATATCTATTCAATCTATCTATTTATTTTTTCTTTTATTCTTCTGGTATAACATCTTGTAATTGTGCAATATGTTTCAATGAAGTTTTAAGAAAATTTCTTATTAAACATATTTCAACTTGTGTCAAATGTGTTACTTTAGCATAAAGTGAACCACTACGTGCTAAATTTCCAATTGATGAACGTAATTTTGCTAAACGTAAATCCCATAAATCTTTCATTAATAAACGAATTTGATCACCATTTGGAATATCTTCTAAAGCAACATTCATTATTGTTTGTGACAATATAAATACATATGGATTAGGCATTTGTGTAAATGTTTCTTGTTGTTGTTCTTGTTTAAGTAATTCTTGTACTGAATCGAGTGTTAACCATTCGGGACAAACAAATCGACAACGATGACTTTCTTTAAGATGAATTGCCTATAAATAGTATAAAACAAAAAAAGATTTAATCATAAATTTTTTGAAAAACTTGATCGATAACAAACCATCCAGATAGGAACTTGTAATGGAATTGATGGTAAAAATGGACCAACAGATCCACGAATTAAATGAATTTCAGGATGTTTAAAATTTGGTACAACAGAAGTAAGTTCATTTTCAGATAAATATTGTACTTCATCAATATCCATTGTTTGTATTCGATCTCTACTTAGAAAATGATATGTTTTATAGAATGAAAGAAAGAAAGATAAGAATGAACGATCATAATACTATCCAATATAATCGAATTTCGCTAGTTGTCGTAAGAAATCGAAAATATTCTATTTAACAGACTTCTAAGTTTACTATTATCGAGACGATATAGTGATGTTCTTAAAAAAAGATTTCCGAATGTTAATTGAGTAAAAAGAGATACACTCTTGTTTTTGTGATTTAAATGACGCGTGAAAAAGATTATTAAATATTGATTGAAAAAAACTGATTACTAATAGAAAATGAAATGATTAAGACTCATACTCATGTCAGAAACTGTGATTTTCATCAAATTTCAATTTTGACGCGACTAAATTACCCTCAATGTCTAATGCTATTTACCGAATTTTTTATGGCTTTTCACGATTTATTTTCTATATCTTTTTTCTGTTCTAGCGTGAAAGACTTCTGGGCCATTTTACATGCTAGAAAGCTGAGGAAGGTTTTAAATCGAAGAGAAGATTGACTCTACAAACTATCAGACTCGGAATATTTACTTTCGACTTACTGTGAAAAAAAAAGAAATGTTTTTCTGTAATAGCATCCTAATTTTTCGAATTTTTTTAGAAAAAATCTCACCAAAAGTAAAGAAACAATATTTTGAAATATTTGACTCTGTTAAGTTGTAGCGGTAGTTTCTGGCTACATTTTAAAGCCATTTCGAACTCTGTGTCATTATATTTGGAGAAGAAACCCGTGCCATGCAGATAGCTACTTTTTTTTCATCCCTGATGTCATAATAGCTTACGAATAGCTCAATATTTCGGGCCGAAATATTTAATGCGAATTGTTAGAATGTACACGCATTCTCTGAAATTTTCAGCTACATCGATTGTTGGTGAGTAAAAATATGTTTCTGGCATGGAATGGACTTTTAATTTAATTTATAATATTCTCCATTTGGGTCTGTACTTTGCAAATAGTTATGAATTAAAGAGGAGAGCAAAAAACCTAAATCCATTCGTGTCATTACGCTTTTTCTCTCGAATTATAGCAATGTTACCAAATTTTAAGACTAATCAAGAATATTACAAGAAAACAAATAACAAGAAATCTTCTGATTAAATTTTTTCTCAAGACTAGGTCTCTAAATTTTGTGACTACAAGTAGAATCCTATGAGACTAAGAACAGCTTAAGGGAAATCGGGTCCATGATCTACTGATGAAGAGTGATGAGTTTTTTAATGAAACTTTGAGAGTAAGGTATTTTTGAAAAATCTAAACCAAAAAGTTTTGTCTATTAGACATGTTTTATAAATCATTAGATAGACCTGAAAGTTTCAGTACAGCGGACATCACTTTCTCAGGATATTCAATTTCAAAAATAAAAAGACAGCTGTTTACCATCGGAGAACACCGTAGTTGAGTCTACTTGTAAATTGAATATCTTGAGAAGTTCATGTTCATTTTCGTCGAAACTAATTACTAACTATAAAATCTGCCGATAAACAAAACTTTTTGGTTTGATTTTTTTAAATGATTTTTTCTCACTAATAGTTTTGCGAAAACGGTCATAGCTCTTCATCAATAGACCATAGACTCGAATCTCTTTAAGCATTTTTTTATTTTCGCCAAGGTCTACTCGTAGCCACATAGGAAGTCGAACATTGATCGGCAATTGGATAGGTTTTCTGGTTAGCTAAAATCAATTTGCCTCTCCCGAAATAATACATTTGTAAGCAACATTACTTCCTGAAAGAAATTCAAAATATTTGACATCTGGTGTTTTCAGGATAGATCATTCGTTTCCGATAAAACTTTCACTATATTGTAAGAATCATCAGATCAATGTGTAGAAAAATTTTCGCTTCAATTTTTCTGTTTTAGGTTTTTTTGATAGGATCTTTGAAAAGTTTTGAAACCCAATAAAAATATTATAACTCAAGAAGAAAGGCTCCATGGCATAAACTCTTTTAGACTTTTTATTTACATTCAAGCGTAATTCAAACTCAAACAAAAGATATCAATTGGACAGATTCTCTTGTTCGTAATCTGTGATTGTTAACAATAGAAAGAGGAAACAACAAGACATTATTGGATATAAAATCGAAAGAGATTTAATCACTCATGAAAGTCATATAATGATCAGGCTCGAAAGAAATTGCCTGAACTTTTAAATCACAATATCATTTGGATATTTTTATACGTAATATAATAAGAAATAATTTTTTTGAAACTAAAATTTAATACATAATTGATGTACGCATAATCACAATATTTCAATGCTTTTATTCTTTTTGTTCATATATTTCAGCATCATCTTCAGATTTCATTTGATGATTTTTTTTTTTAATTTTGATCTTCTTCAAATATATATTCATATATCCTAGATTATGTTACTGAGATTGATTGTTAATTGATGTTTATACTTATATTGCATTGCTTCATGTTACCTAATACATGATCACCTTTAATGCCTTGTGCAATAACACCTACTTCTTTTTGTTCTTGAATCTTTTATTAATCAGTACTAATATATCATAACCTTGAACACCTTAATTCCATTGTTCTAATTTGATCTGATATTAATTATAATATAAAATTGAAAAGAATTAAAATATACTTATGAATTAAAACAAAGATGACTAAATATCAGTATATATTTCTTGTAATATCTGATTAAATTACAATAATGAAATTAAGGTGTTCAAGGTTATCCGATTCTGCTACTGCTCAATAAAAGATTCAAGGACAGAATTAAATAGGTATTATCGTGCAAGGTAATATGAAACAAAGTAATATGAGTATAAACATCGATTAACAATGAATCTCAGGAACAAAATCCAGGCTATGTGAATATATATGTAAAGAAGGTCAAAATGAGGGATCATTCATTTCAACTCATGTTGTACGTTTGTTCACACTATCGTCGGCATATTGACAGTAGATTGCTGTTGAATAACACCTATCGATATATCGCAGTCGGAAGATCACCGACCGTTTAAGTACCAAACTTCCGGTGACTTTTTGTCACGAAACGACGAATAGCACACTTTATACTGAATAATCTACAGCCGATTTTTCTACAGTTTGAACCACATGGAAATTTTGAAATAAAATTTGCAAAATTACAAATCAAATACAGTCTTAAGATAATTCTGAAATTTGTAAAACAGAATTAAAATTTCGAAATATCACTACTATTATCCGCATCAGCTAGGTTTACTACTATTTTTGGTACCAGCATGATCACGATGCAGATGACTAGTAATTACCCATCATATAATTGATTGAATTCTTTTTTACAAGTGAATTACCATAAGAGATGAACAATTTTCAATAATAAACATCATTCAAAAATGCTGAAGAATAGTATAAGAAATTTATGGAATTATTCAATCAAATATTTCCATAATAATCCATAAATAATAACAAAAACATAATTTCAAAGACCTATTACTTTAAGCTATTCTTTACAGAAACGATCTATTTTGTAATCCTCATGAATAAGAGATAAGTGATTTTCTTAAAGTCGGGCGTCAATATCAGTTAGATTAACATATAACGTGAAGCATGCTATCAATATATCTTAATCAGCTTTATCATTAGGATTTGTTTTTTGATTTATTAAAAAGATATCTTATGCACTTGATCGAATAATGATTCTGACAAAGTCCTTGTGAATCATATTCTCATTTATCTGTGCAATGATTTCTCATTGTTCAATAATTTAGTTTCATAGTTATCCGAGCACATACAATAAATTTAGATAGAAAAAAAACCGTATTGAACAACAACAACACTCGGCATCACGAGAAACTAATCATTTGTCCTCATTCATTAATAAAGCGTTGTGGCTTGGAACGAATTGCAAATGATCGTTTTGATTTATTTTTTCCATTCTAAAATTATGAATAATGTTAAAAGGACATGGAATGAAAATGATTGTCTGCTTTTTTTCTTACTGTGCTATGTGATGATTCAGATTTTTTCGCATTTGCATTAATTTGTTTTTGTATTTGATTATTATCATTATCTTCATTAATATTATTTCCGTCTAATTGTTGATTCATTTGATAATCTTGTGTTTCAAAATTCAATTGTGAACCAAGTGGACTTCCTAATGGACTATCAATAGCATCACGAAATCGTTTTGACCATCGTTGTACATTTGCATATGTGGGCGCATCATTACCTATATAAATAATGTATAAAAAGAATTTTTTCGTAATGAACATCTTTTCATATACCAAATGCATTTTGTAATTCAAGTAGAATTTCTTTTGGTCGATAACCCAAAAATGTACGAATCTTAATATATTGTCGAAATGTTTCGGACATGATTATTGATCGATAAAACAAAAATAATAAGTCGAGGAAATGAATCAAATGATAAATCAAGAACTAACTAATTCATTAGTTACAAAACAACAAAAAGCGCTAAAAGAAAAAAAGAATCTCATTTAATCAATGTTTATTTTGATGTGTTTATTTCGGAGTAGAATATGATACTATCAATAAATATAAACAATTCGTTTTTCTTTTCTGACTAAATCATTATTATTTATTTATAAATATTCTAACTGACGAAAACACTTTTCTAGGTGTCAACATGCTTTTCAACTGAAACGAGGTTCTCTTTTAATAAATGCTAGAGAAAATTTACAATTTGTTTAATGAACTAATCTTATTGAAAACTTTGTTTGTACAAAATTTGATGTTGAAAGTCCATTTTTTACATCATCACAGTTTTTTGTTGAAAAATCCATTATAATTTCGATATCTCAAGAATGAAGGCCTGGGAAAAGCAAACAATTCTAGACTTTTCTATTATTTCATAGTACTCAGCAAATGAACATCGTTTCAGTCGAAAAGCGATTTGCCATCTGGAGAGATTCTCTCGTGAGACTTGAATTAATCACATTTTTATTATGATAAAGATAATTATAATTTTATATTTTTTCAGTTTGTTATTTCACAAGAAAATAATTTTCTTTTTTTGTTCACATTCTTGAATTTATATAGCTTATAGAGTAGATTGTTATTACAATATTTATTGTTTCTGTTTTCCCGAAGACTCTTTATGCAAAAAAGAGAAAAGGGCCTTTCATTTTCCGTCTTATTGATTCATCGAAAAAAAAAGAAAGTAAATCTATCGTTAAGAAAACATTCCGGTTGATTAGAAAAAGAAAATGTCTAGTTCCCGTCATTTGGAATTCCTCTTCTCTTTTTTTGTTATATATATTGTGTTTCTCATTAAATGTGAAAAGACAAATGAAAATGCTTGAGTGAACAACACTTCTATCCGCAAGAAGTATTATATTTATAGAAGCTAAAAAAAACACAGAACATGACCTTTTTTTTTTTTTACTATTATATCATTGTAATATTTATCATTTTTTCACTGGTTTCCAATAGAACAAAGATGGTTTATAAAGCTCATTCTATTGATCTATAAAGAGAGCTTATAATGAAATTTCATTTGTCAATAAGATTTTACATCACATAGATATATATATTTATTGTTTTTTCCTCTAAGAAGAAAGAAAGAAAAAAGAAAAGAAAGATTCTGCTTATGGCTAATAGAAAACGTCAAAGAGCATTTCATAAGAAAAGAATTGGTAAGAGAAACGATCATTAACTTATTCCATTAACGTAGTTTTCACTGGGATAAGAGTCTCAGGAAAAAAAGACTTTTTGTCCTTCTTTCACATTCTCATTTGCATGACAGTCAAATTTGCTCTTCTATAACACTATTATTATTATCATTATTAGGCACTAGTCTATATGTTTAATTTTTAAGTTGCACTAATGAGACGATGATAGAAAGAAAAACAATCACGCATTCTTTCATTTATCAGATTTCACTAGTTCTCATTTGCTGTTTCTATTGTCTTCCATAGAAAAGAAACAAACGGTTAATATCAGTCGCAGACATTCGACATCACATGCCCTCATTTACACATCCATAGGGTCATTATTATGAGACGCAGTATCTCTTAGTTCTAGTTTTTGTTTTTATATGATCGTGCAAAAAAGAAAAGCAAATAAATAAATAATATAATGAAAAAAAGAAGAAGAAAGGACAACAGATAATCTAACTATTATTAGTCTAACGAGTAAGTTGCTTTAAGGACATATATCCATTAGCTACATTTATTAATAAATGTGGAGGAAACATTTGTTTGTCAGTCAACAAAAAGAACAGCTGTGTTATTTGATTGCTATTGTTGTTGTCGAACAAGAATAGTCAACGATAAAGGATTAGACATACACACACACAAAATGATATATGCAGTATAAAAAAAGACAGATATGTCTACAAATGGTTGGACTTGAAGATAAATTTTCTATTGAGATCAACAGGTGATTATAAAAAAAACATAAGAATAATAATCGATATCATTAAGAACAAAATCTAATGTAAAAAGGCTCATTTAGAATATATACGACGGACACACTTGAAAAGCGAATGATGACCTCCAGAGAAATAGACGCGACATACATGTTAACGAAGAAATATCGTTATTTGATGTACCCTATCTATTTCTGTTGGTATGTACCCTCGCTTGCTCGGTTTGGTCGAGGCTGATCAAAGTAATCGAGCACATTACTAGCAACATACATCTCCTCAAGCTCTTGGGGGATAACCACGATGATTTTTGACAAGATCATCAATAATAGTGCAAATCATTCTTTATCGTTTCGTTCTTCCATTCTATGATGACGTGTTCTTGACTTATGGTCGTATTTTTTTTTTGTATATACTCTGTATATGTATGTATTTGTATGGAATAGCAGCATTGCTCGTGGCAAATAACAATCCAATTTTGTCGTTTCTTTGTCGCCCAAGTCGATTTCTGTTGGATAATGTTGTTTACTCGTTCTCCGCCTCTTTTCTCGCAATCGGTATCGTCATCAGTAGGAAACGAGTCGTCTCCATCTCATACAGCTACAGTCTGTAATTCGCGAGACGTTGAAAATCAACTACATACCGTTTCTTTATCAAATAATTCTACACTTTTTACAAATGGACCATCCAATAATGGGTTATTATCAAATAGTCAATCTAACTTTTATCAATTGCCCGATCAAGATTGTTTCTATTCTCCATTATCATCGTCATCATCATCTTGCCCTTCAATTCATTTAACGCCAACAAAAACAATAACAAACATTAAATTATCTAAAGCACGCCGTGGTGATTCGTGTCCTATTTTACCTAATTATAAAAGATTAAATCATTTTTATCTTCCAACAAAAATATCATCGTCTATTCGTGATGTACTCATGGCTACAATGCCAACAACAGATCCAGACGTATGCCATTCAGAAGATATATCTCAATTTTTCAAAGAAAATCAATGGTCTAATAATAATACTATACCGGTAATAAATCCCGCTGCTGCAGCTGTTTTTAGTGAAAATAATGAGTTGGAAATCAATGAAGAACAACTAACTACATCTATCACACCATCTCCTTTAGACACACCGAAAAATAGTGAATGTTTACGACAATCACTTACTGATTGTTCAGCACATGTATATCCATCTAATATTAATAATAATCGTAAAGTTATTTTAAATGTTGGTGGTGTTAGACATGAAGGTAATTTAATTATGTTTTTCTTCTAGAAATTAAAAAAGAAATTTCAATAATTTCGATCTTTCTAAGTTTCTAAATATTTATATTTGTATTTATATATGTGTATAGTTTTATGGCGTACACTTTCTCGTCTACCAAATACGCGTCTAGGTCGTTTGGCTAAATTACGTCAAACGGCATTGTCAACAACACGCCTAATGCCACATGATGAAATAATCCGTTTATGTGATGATTATGATTTATCAAAAGAAGAATATTTTTTTGATCGTCATCCACGCACATTTTCATCAATAATTAATTTTTATCGTACAGGAAAACTTCATTTAGTTGATGATTTATGTGTTATATCATTTAATGATGATTTGAATTATTGGGGTATTGATGAATATTATTTAGAATTATGTTGTCAAAATAGATATCATCAAAAAAAAGATCATGTTTTAGAAGAAATGAAAAAAGAAGCTGACTTATTAAAAGTTGAAAAAGAAGAAAGTATCGGTGAACGTTGTTGTGGAAATTTCAGACGAAAAATTTGGGATCTTTTTGAACATCCACATACATCAAAAGCTGCACGAGTACGTCTATCTTTTTTATTCTTTCTCTTTCTCTCTCTCTATGTATATATGTTTATTTTATGGTCAAATTTAGATTATTGCATTTGTTAGCATTTCTTTTATTCTTCTTTCTTCATTCACATTGACATTAAGTACTATTGAAGGTATATGAAAAATTATTTGTTTAATATGACTTATAAATTTAAAGAATTTGTTTAGGTATTGGTTGTGCACCAAATATATCCGATTCCGAAGTTATCATTAGTACTCCAACATCAGGTGATGCTGATGCTGTTCGGATTGCTGCTCAAGCTGCAGCACGAGATTTAGCTGCTGAACATCATGAAAGTGTCGGTGATTGTCGTGAACCATTATTTTTATTTATTGTTGAAACAATATGTATATCATGGTTTACAATTGAATATATTGTTCGTGTATTTGCTACACCAGATCGATGCAAATTTTTTAAAGGTGTTCTAAATACAATTGATCTTATTGCTATTGTACCTTTTTATATTTCAATTATACTTGAAACATTAGATACGGGTAATTTAAAAAATTTTAAATCTGTTCGTAAAGCTGTACAAGTATTTCGTGTTTTACGTATAATGCGCATACTTAAATTAGCACGTCATTCAACTGGTCTTCAATCATTAGGTTATACACTACGAAGAAGTTATAAAGAATTATCTATGCTTTTGATGTTTTTGGCTATATTTATATTATTATTTTCAAGTTTAGCTTATTTTGCTGAAAGAGATGGTAATGCTATACAATTTCGTTCTATTCCACATGCATTTTGGTGGGCGAGTATTGTAAGTTTATTAAATAAAATATTCAACAAAAAAAAAAACAAAAAGAATTATCCTATATATCTTTTTCTCTTTTATTTTAAAGACAATGACTACAGTTGGCTATGGTGATATTTATCCGAAATCTGTGTGGGGTAAACTAATTGGTGCCGTATGCTGTGTTTGTGGAGTACTTGTTATTGCTTTACCAATCCCAATTATTGTTAATAATTTTGCTGAATATTATAAAGAACAACTACGTCGTGAAAAAGCTTTAAAACGTAAAGAAGCTATTGATCGTGCTAAAAAAAATGGTTCAATTGTATCGATTCCATCTCGTTCTGTATCAAATTTATCACATATAGATTATAATGTACGTCGTTTAAGTATATTGAAATATATATCAAGTCATCCGCCAACAAGTGATGAACCATTATTTGATCCTGGATGTTATGATAAAAAATCTCCATTATCATCAGTAACACATATTCCACATACAATTGGTTTGTATACGGAAATTAATGAAAATAACTATCGAACAACAAAAGAACGTGATGAAGATGCAAAAGAAGCATTAATTACTAAAACAGATATTTCAATAGATGATGAGCGAAAAGAAAATACGTTGAAAATATAATGATTTTTGGTATGATCTATAATATGAAATATTTAATATCTATTTTGTTTTTTGTTATTTTCATGAATAACTTCTTATAATGTATAAAAAAGAAAAAGAAAGAAATTAAATATGATCTATTGAATTATAAATTTTGGATCACGAAAGTCTAATCGTTAGTGCTTAATATTGACGAGACAATGTTTTCAACTGATCAATCGACTTCTCGTCGAAAGCTTGTGGATTGTAAGGAATCAATTATACTAATCCCATATTTTGATCATGAGAAATTCTCTTTTGATCTTCATATGCTGGCTTTCTAGACTAACAAATTTTGCTGTGTCAAGATTATATAACATATCATATTACCTAGAAAACAGTAACTTTTTCTGGTCCACATCGTTTCTCTTCAGAAAGTATAGCCATTTTAATTTGTACTGCAGATACATATCAACATTTCCACATGCGAATCTTCAAGATGATGTTATCTTAGCGATTGATCAGTTAACAACTCCTCCCTTGGACCACNTGGTTTTAGACTTGTTAGTATGAAATTACTAAAAATCTGGATGATCGAAAGCTGAGCTGAAATTTTGTCCATAGATAGGTCTTCTACTTGCTAGAAGAGCCTCAATATATAAGCCAGAATATATCTATTCTTGCTAAGATATTTACATTTTAAAGAAGTAATTATTTTAAGGTATGTTCTGAGAGAAGAACATTTCTAAGGCAAACGCATATCTCAGTACTGATATGTTTGGCATAGTTCAAACTTCGGAGTATACAGCCTGTCAGATCCACAATTTTCGAATCCGGAACCAATCCAAGGTTCTCAGTGATTGTGTACTCCATAAGGCAAAAACTGAGTACAATGTTCATAACTCAACCAGCGAAAATCGGAAAACCAAATCAAAATAAACCTTTTTTACTACTCATCATGACTTATCGAACGGCAATAGTCTCAAGCGAAAAGCGATTTGATCATTAAGAGAGTTCCTTCGCGAGATACGCAAGTAGATTTCCATTGGACATAAGCAAAATTTATTGACATAGTTGAATCAAAGCTCTAAAGCGTAAAAAGCAGTTTAATAATAACATATCCATACCATTGACCATTTTTTCCACCACCAAGAAAAACCAAATTTCCATATGCACATGCTGCTAGAGATGAAAGTTGTGGACCTTCTGTTGAAAATGATTCCCATTGATCATTTTCAATTGAATATCGTTCAATTGTATTTACATAAACACGTGTTGTTCGTTTAAATCCTTCAAAACCACCCATACTAGATATAAACAATTATCTTTATAGTTAAAATACATAAATCTATACATACATATAAATATATTCCTCAACATGTGCAGCTGCAAAACGTGATCGATCATGTAGAAGATTTTGTAATTTAGTCCATTCACATGTATGTGCTGAAAAACGATAGCATGATTTATATTCTTCAGATGACGAACGACGTGTACCAAGTACATATAAATAATTATTTACAGTTATTGCACTAAATGGATACTAAAAAAAAAGATACGTTTTCAAATGAAAATAATTTTTAAATTTAATTTCAATTATAAAAAAATATTGTATTGTTTTTTCGTATAGTTCCATTTAACTAAGAGAATAAACTTAGATACTAATGTACTGAATCGATACATATTTGAACTTGATCGCATACGTAATATTTCAATTTTATATGATATTCTTGAAGTTAATGATGTATGGAAAGATTGTTTCCAATGAACGAATCAAACAAACTGATACATGCTGTTTAAGCTCATATTGCGCTTACAAGGTCGTCTTGGTTAGAATAGCGAAAATCAAAAAGTGTTTGTTCCTAATGAATCTTTGAAGCTAAGTTAGGGTTGTTGTATTGATATATTCGATCTCGTTTCAGATATACATCGAAAGACATAATTTTGACGTAAAATTAAATAGGTCTAATTGATCTATAGAATATGTTGAAAGTTTCAGACGAAAAGAATGCTTCATTGTCGAGATGTAGAACTGAGTGAAACTTTCAAGATATTCTATAGATCAATTAGATCTACCTAATTTTACGTCGAAATGATGTTTTTCGATATATAACTAAAACTGAATCGAAAATTTAGTAAAACCATTTTAATTTGGTTTCAAAGATTTATCTAAACTCCTGCTAATGTCATCAAAATGTTCTTATAGACTTAATATAAGTGCAAACAACAAGTCTTAATTTGATTGGTTACTTCGTAAAATAAATTTTTATGCATTAATGATGAAGAAGAAAGAGTACAACATATAGAAAATATTTTTCTTTAATAGAAATGTCACAATGTTTCGTTCTACAATGTACTATTTCGTTATATTTGATTTTCGAGTAAATGTCACAGTCACATGTCAAACTTACATTAATATTGCGAAAGTTAAAATTTAGATAATAATGTGTATACAAGAGAAATTCAAACTAAAATTTATTAACTAGTTTCTTTTTATAATAATCATTTAATAGAAGAAAAACAAAAATTCCTACTTGTTCGTACAATAATCAACATTTTAAAAATCTGTTGATTAATTACATATCGTTTTTTTTATTTTATTTAATAAACTTTTATCATTAGCATAGATAAAACTATACTAAAACAAATAGGCAACACATTCAACAAAGATTGAAGTTCTTTTTTGCATGCAAGAAAAAAAAAACAGACAATATATCAGTACGTCACTTTAATAAAGCAAAGTTACCGATAATATTTCCAATATATACACAATTGGATTCTTTTTATCATATATCCCGGACCTATATGAATAATTCTAGGCTGTAAATCAAAAATAAAGAAAAAAAAAAGCTCGTTTAGAATCATTCAGAGCAACACATAATAATTGTCTTATTCTAATCCTTACTAGATTTTCATATGTTTTGTGATTATCAAAATAGAGTTCACAACTAACGTCCGAGACGTACATAAATTACTCATAAGATATTGAAAATAAAGTTAAAATTTCCTTATATGATTCTTCTCGTTTTGTTTCGAGAAGTTTAACAGGAATATCTTTGTTGGAAACTAATTATATTAGGGTACAAAATATTTGGTCAATAAAATATATGAAATGGTCAATAAGTTAAACAATAATAAAATTAGTGAATTATTTGATTTATCAGTAAATCAAATTTACAGTATAATTTACTTGTTTTCTTCGTTTCTTGAACTATGTAATATATATGTATATAAACTTGACGCTCATTCTTTCTTCCAACATCAGCTCAGTGTCAACGAGTACAAAAGATAGATGTAGTATAATTTACTCAATATGAAAGTGATATATCAGACGAAGAACTTGTAGAAGAAAATAACGAGATAAAGGAAAACGAAAGATCTTCCAAAATGATAAAAAATACTGGGTTAATGAGGCTATTTTTTAAAATGCGAATAAATGATAAAAAAAACTATCGAAACTATACAGAAAATGGGAGAATAGTTTATTACAGATGCAAGCAAGCGAACCACCGTAGATCTCAATGCGGAACAAGTATTTATCTGCTGTATTGTATAAACAGTGATAAAGTTACTGTTTTTAAAACTGAAACTGAATACGATGGTCATCATGATAAACTTCATGGTATTGATTAAAATGTAAATAAAACAGTGTATAGAATAATTATATCATGATGGAATAATAAAACTAAAACAAATTATTCGAATACTTCGAACAATAAATGTAGCAACTACATAATATACGCAAAAACATCATTCGCATAAACTATTCATCTGAAATATTGTAAATTAGCAAAGACTAAAACTGCTTTATTCGTATAATTATTTAATTTTCATTTCTTCTTTATTTAAATTATTTTTCTTCTACTAAATTATACTTTATACGTATAAAAAAATAAAATCTGTATTTTTTAACTAATTGAATTCGTATATAAAATAAACTGACAATCTTCATCTATTTTACTGACCAATTAAATCGATACTTTTATATCAAATTTCTCTTTAACAATATGTTTCAAGTTACTTGATTATATAAATTTTGTCATTTAGCTTTTTTTCTTTTCGCTTTGACACATTCTCATCATGTTTACCCATAAAATCGATCATGATCATAGTTACCGATTGTGATTACTGTGACGGTGACCTGGCCAGGGATATTCGAGTTGACACTCTTTAAGGACGGATACCAACTTGAGAATTTATTTCTACGCATGTTCCAACATTCTGAGATGTTTAGACATGCCTATACTTTCATTTTGCAGCTTGTCACTATTTGTTTCCTGGTATCATCTAGGAATAAAACTAAAAGCTGGCACCCCTAGTCGTGCCCATAGTTATAAAAAAAACCTTGCGCACGCCAAGCACTATTTACCACATTGGGAGCGAGTCGACCCTTGTTGTAAAGATTATTAAGGAAAAAAAATCGTTTAGATTCACTCGAAACACATTCCTGATGATTCTAATTTAAGAAATATATACATTAAATAATCCTACCGGATAATTTTCTTCTAATGGTGCTTGACAAAGTGTATCCCATCTTTCTGATGTTGTATTTAATGAAAATAATTCAATTTCTCCAACAGCAACAAGTATAGGTTCATTTCTTACTCGACATTGTATATCATTAATAAGTGGTTGTCGATTAGGTAATGCATAATAACATAGAGCATTTTGTACTGATATTCTTGATTCTTCATTATTTTTAATAAGTTCATGATGACGAACATGATCACATAATTGTTCAGGTGTCATTAACATAAAACGAATACGTTTAAATAAATCTGCTGTATATTTTACTCTTTCATCATAATTTGCTTTAATCCATGTACATGTCATTGTAAATAAATCATATTCATTATATTGATACATATCTAATGTATCACGTGATAATTCATCATAGATTTGTTCATATGTTAATTGTTCAAATTGATGACATGCATGAAACATAAGTAAAACAAAATTTTTTGATACAAAAATTTTTATAACATATAAAACATCATTAAGTGAATATAAATCAGATATTTTATAAATATCAATACAATTTTTAATTGTACATGATTCAATAAGAAATTGTGAACATAAATCAATAGCATCTTTTATTTGTAAATGTGTTGCAGCATGTAATAATTCATCAATATTATCAAATGTTATAAATAATGAACCTGAATAACAAAAATTTATCATTGATTCAACACCATTTGATGAACTTTCAAAACCTTTTAATTCAACATGATCAGATTGACTTTCACTCATATTACCTTTTATAATAAAAAAAATATATATATATATAAAATGAAGGCAAAAAAATAGGTTTAAAAACGCAGTTTGTTTTTTTCTTAACGGTAATAACTACGACGAATCAGAGAAAAGATTTAAGTAATTAAAACAATACCTTATCAGGAGAAATAGTTGTCGAAATATCATTAACAGATTCAAATGAAAGATCTCTGAAAAGCCGAAGACTTCAAAAAAAAGAGTTTTTCAGGTTCTATTAAAAGCTTTTTTGTGAAAAAGTTCATCTGAACAAAGTGAATATATCCTCGAACTCTTCACGACCTATCTACAGCAAACAACACTCATTCTACAAAAAGTCCTGCAGCATAAAACAGTAGACAATACCCTTTTAAGTCTATCGAACAATGATTGTTGTTTGTTGCAGACAGGTCATAGCGAGCTTGAAGAACATCTCATTTTGTTCGCATGAACCTTTTCATAAAACATTTTTGATAAAATTAAAAAAACTGGTTTTGCCGATCTTTCATCCAAACCTGTTCATTAGGATTTAACAACTACATCTCCTAATAGGAAATTACTTCACGTAATCAAATCTTTTCTTCGATTTGTTCCAGACGTTGACATCAAAGAATACAAAATACTTTGTTTCTACATCTTTTTGTCACCATCTTCAATATGAAAGGAAATTCAAATATACAAACCACTAAACATTGCTTTGAAATAATCTGATGTTGCAATTAATAAAAATTTATGACAATAAAAATGTTTATCATTAATATCAATACGAAAATCACTTAATTCAGGTTTATCACGCATAGACGAAAATTTTTCAAGAAGTTTTGTTGCATAATTTAATGCATTTGATAGTTTGGTTGGAGTAGATGTTATATCATTTAATGAAACCACGTCATCATCGTAATGTCCATTAAGAATCTTAAGTTTGAACAAAAGAAATCCTTCAAGAAAATAAAAGAATTAAAAGACTTACTCGTAACTGTTCTGAGTCTTGATGATGCATTAATATACTAAACAAAAACGAAAGATATTATGAGAATTGAGTATCCAAAGAATCGCATGATCCAATCGTGAACCAATATTCTTTAAATATGCTGTATCTCATTATATTTAAAACAATAGAAAATTTTCATACTTGCTTATGTTGATTGATTGCACATAATACAATCGTTTTCAAATGAATTTGATCTAAACAAAATTAATAATTTATTTTCTTGTTTTATACAATCATACAAAATTTATGAGCATTGTGACTTCAAAAAGAAAAATTTATGTAATATTCTATTTTTCTCATCCAGCAATTTTCTTTCAATAATTAAACTATTGATAATTTGAAAATGCTAAATCTGTGAAATAAAATTGAAATATTTCATCAATTTTTACCTTTGTAAATTTATTTCAAAGCTTTATTTGAAAATAGAACAACATTATACATGAATACAGATCAGAAAAGATAAAAGTATATTAAGAAAAGAATCACGGGAAAGAAAAAGTAGAACAATTATGATGTTGAAAATCTATTTTAGTACAATGTCATGAGTGAATTTATGACAAGAAACAGAATCTAATAAACAAACGGAAACAAACAAATCGCGACATGCATACATGCTAGATAATTTGTTAAGAGAGCGTCCTCTGTCGCTTTATTGCTTTCCTTTGTCGCTTAATGACGGTTGATATTAAATCTTATAGAATTCAATGTTTTTTTCATTAGATCAAATTTGGGTTAGTAGAATTTTCTAAATAAAATAAATTATGAATAAAATAAAGATTATTAAATAACATAAATATGAAAATATTCTCTAGATTCATTATTGAAACAGATGTAATTCATTGAATGATATATTCAAATCTTTTCTTCTTTCAAAGAAAACAACGAATGGCATTATTGAATCTTTTCAACTATAAAAATAAGCAAGATGTTCAATACCTTATAGATTCACAGTTATACTATATTACTATTAGTAGAACAATATAAATATTCTGTAAAATATAACTTTCTAGTTCTTGCACTGTATATTCCATCTTAGTTAACTCTTTGACGACGGTGGTATATACGTTGTACTACCTGTTTTGTAGTAGAGAATAAAACATTTTGTTTACATTAAATTGTTAGACTAGTAGCATAATCAAAATTTTGACAATAAAAAGGGACGGATGCTTAGCTTCCTCTGTCTCTTCTTTGGTTATGTCACTATGTGAGACCTGCAAGGCTGCAAAGATCATATGTTGTCTCTAAATATGAGTAAGATAGTACCGATCCCACTGAGACGAGAACCAACACCTTTTCATTGGAAGTGATATTTTTTATGATCGTGTAAAACTTGCGTCTAAATGTCATATTGTCACAGCCTATGTGTTCTGGAAAGTTTATGCAAAAATTATTGAGTAACGATCATTTCAATACTTGATGTTATAACTTGGATAGTCAAATGAATCCTTTTTCTCGTAAACAATAGAGTTGTCGAACACATAAATGGACAGAATAGATAAAGCATCAGTGAATTAAAAGAAATAATGAATCTTCAAGAGAGAGGATATGAGAGTTCATTGAAGTCGTACAAGATGTCTCGAGCTCATTGACTTAACTAGAGGATGATATTGTATTTTTTCTTAGCACATGCATTAGTAAGCGCGCAACCAGGACCAAAAACATTTGATCTTGTTCGTCATTAGTTGTCCCAATTGTCTTCTGATATATTATCTTGGGAGAATACTTGAAAAGATTTTCACACTCTATTTTTCTTGTCTATATAAATATTTGCTCTTGATGTCATTGACGCAGTGAATTTTGTCTTGATGTTGCAATATAATTAGCGAGCTTAGGATTAAAGGAAATTTTGAAATGAAAAAAAAAAGGGAGAGTGGTGATAGAGAACATACAGAATTGAAACTTAAGAAGAACATTCCTGGGAAACTGATCCTATGTGTCGAAAGTTTAAAAAGATCTAATATCTATTTCTCATGTAGAGATGGCTCGGCCGATTGGCTTACACCTCTGCTCAAGATGAATTACCATATTTAAATCTTGGAAGATCTCTTTCTGAACAAAAGTCTAAAATAGCATCACCAGAATCCGTTCACGAACATGAAGATATATTTACTATAGCACGAACATCAATTGTTTTCGTTTCATATTAGCATTTTATGTAAAAGATGAGACAAACATTTTTTTTTTGACTATCATTAGGTTTTTATGCAATCCTTTTGAACTAAATACCATAAAACAATTGAAGAAGTACTTTACGATTTAAAAAAATCCGCCTCAAAGGACTAAATCTTCCTTCCAATTCTTGCTCTTTTTTTATTAGAAAAAAATGTTAATGCTCCTGTTGCTACAGATCATGAAGCCATCTTTATTAATGCTTCAGTTTATCATGTCTAATATAAAATTCCAACTTTTTTATTGTGTCTTTACTATTTATCAAATAAGAAATTGCTTCGTGTCTGTATACCTATTCGTGATTGGTCCTTGACTCTTCAAATAATTGAGTACCGAAGGAAGAAAAAGCACAGCAAGCATGCCAATTCGACTTTTTCTGACATATGTATTCGTTTTTCAGTTTTTTAAAAACAACTATGATCTTACTGATTGCATTAATTCGAACTAATGTTGACAAACATAAGTTCACTTCTCACTGTTTTTTTGTTTCTATAAAAATTGCATTATCGGATTGTTACCAACACTTGTCTCACGACAATTTGTTGAAATAACACGATCATCTATAGAAGTTTTAATTGCTTCATTTCTAAAATCAATTATTACTGGTAAAAAGTATAGATTTACCTGTGTTAGCTAATGCATTGGTCAGCTGTAGCGGCTGAAATTTTACGATGCATTTTTTTTTAAACTTTGAAATGAGAAAGAGAAAAGCATGGTGAAGATCTTATTGAAAATAAGCTAGATGGTAATATCTCCAAAAAATTATTTGAAACACCACAAATTTCTAAGAATAAAATATCTATTATTTAAAATGTGGTGGTGGCGGCGGCTCAGCCGATTAACGTCACCTCTATATAGTTACTTTTGTTGAAGATAAATAATTCTGATGTTTGTCGATCATTTGATAAACTTTATATGGCTTTATTAATAATAAAAGCAAGTAATATACTTAAAAATATAAAAATCTTACGATTATTTCCTCTCATGGTAAAGTAATTTCTCTTGCATTTTGACATCGGTTTTAAAAATACTTAAAAGAACTTTCTCTCTATAAGTGTAATAGCAAAAATGGCGTTCTATTTCTCTGTGCTATTATATGATCCTTGAACTAATATTATTATAATAAAATTTCAACAGTAACTGTTTCACGATGATGTATAATGGGTATATTAGTTCACATTGTCTCTGATATGTATTATGATGAATATGACTTTTACTTGTATATTAACTGCAATGCGCAGTGTAATGTACAGGGTGCGTAAAAATGTTTTTCCAGGCGGGTAACACTGTTATTTTAAATAGCATCAATAACAAATTTTATATCAAATTAAAGCGCGTCAAACATTGGGATTTATCAGTATTAAACAGTAAGGGTTATGGAAATTTTTCAATGTCGAATTCATGAAATATCTAGAATTGGACGCCATATTGACAATGAAAAATTTCTTTCATGAGGCAGTTCAAACTAGATCTGGTTTTAAATCATGAATATCACAAGATAATCGACACTCAATTTCAAAATATTGAAACAATAATAAAAAATAAAGTCAAAAAGATGTTATCATAAAGAACCTCTGCAAAAAAATATTTCAGACAAATTGACAAACGTGGAAACAAAAATTGAGTTATCTGGAACTCTTCTATGTTCGTGTTCGTCCCATATTCCTGCTGTAGAGAACACAAATGGTTCTCACACTGCATATTGATTATATTCCTCGAATCTTAAAAAATACAAGTTATCTTGTGATATTCATGATTTTAAACCAGATCTCGTTTGAAATGTCTCATGCAAGAATTTTTTCTTTGCCAATATGATGTCTAATTCTAGATATTTCATGAATTCGACATTGAAAAGTTTCCAAAACTCTTACTATTTCATACTGATAAATCGCATTTTTGGCACGCTTTAATTTCGAATAATATTTGTTATTGATGCTATTTAAAATAACAATGTTATTTCCCTGGAAAAATATTTTTATGCACCTTGTAGAAGCAAAAATTTTCTTTATTCATCTAAAACAAAGATGAACAGTGTCAAGATTTAATATAACTGCATTTCTTTAACTTATGTGAGAATACTCTAATAAGTTACAGATGCAAACAAAAGCAAAAAGACATACGTCTTTATATATGTATATATGTGTGTAGACGATTTTGCATTACTAAAAGAGACGAGAAAAAAGAATAAAGACAAGTGACGAGAAGAACAAAGAATAGATCAAGAAGAGAACACATTGGAGACAATTTGAATTAATGTAACCGTCACATATTGCCGTTAAGTAAGTCTTATTGAAACTGTATTGTTATAATATTACTTGAAGAATGGTATAATAGAACGAAAAAATGAAGCGTCGTTTTTAATATCAATCCATGTAGAGAGAAAATTCCTTTCAGTTTTCTATAAGGAATTACAATACCTCCACCACTACTTTTGGTATGCTCTAAGTAAATCTCCAAATATGTCGAACAAATTCCCCGATTCTCCGCAAACAAATATTCAATAAATGCGAACTTTGTTGAAATCCTAACGAGAACGATTCTCCATTATTCTGTCACTAAGTCTTCAACAACAGCTAAGATATGCCATTGAATCGGCTCAATCACTGAACTTGATCACGTGTATAACCTTATTGAATTATTTGTAGACATTGAAGACAAAATACAGCTCTCTACACGAGATTATCAACTATCTATGCGATGAGATGAGTGAGGCAGCGATTGTTAATATTGAAGATTTTCATCTTCTCTTCGATTTCATCAATCAAATCGGTCGATTTTGGATATTGATCATATAGCAAGTCATTTTTTGTCGACATCTCTAGCCGAGAAAACTTCTATGA